CGGAGAAGAAAAAGAAAGAACAAAAGAAAAAATGATAAGTTTTACTTCTATTTAGATGTTACACACACACACACACCCGGCCGGAGCCGGGTCAACCCTGAAAGGCAAGAGGAAGAAAAAAGCGGACACAGACGACGGGCAAAAAGCCAAAACAGCGCAGGGGGGGAAGGGAACGAACGGACCTCCAGAACCAACCTACGCGGCGAAACGGACCTGACAAAACCAGAGCACACACCTAAACCCCACGACACCTTACGGAGAGGCACGAGGGAAGAATATATCTCTATATATTTATATATATATAGGTACACTATTTTTTTCACAGATACATGTACAGACATGATTCATATATAATATCTGTATATTTTCATCAAATGGATCAACTATTATACAATGGATCAGATATTAATCAAAAGTGTTAATCTAAGTTGGACTCAAATTTAGGGGCTCACAAAGCCCATCAAAGCCTGTCCTCGTTGTGGGCCGATGATTTCAGAAATGGGGCGCTTTTTGAAGATCAACCGTTATGGCCGTAAATGTTGTGTGAATTTCCTTTTCTGGACTTAAACGTATGTATATATATATAATTATATATACATACCCATTTGCACCAGCTTTATCCGATGCTGCTTTTTATTCCCGCATTTTGTTGCTTCAACAGTACCAGGATGTACCATGTTTTTTTTTCTCATCACCCTTCGTGAAACCTTCATTCTCTGCTTAGGAGAGGGGGACGACTATGTCCACTGCACTGATCAGGAGTTGCAAGCTCTTATCGAGCAGCCTGTCGTTACCATAACTGGTTAGCCAACCAGGTGTCCTAACCAGCGTCTGAAAAAATGGAATCCACATAAATCCATGAGTTAATAGTTATTCATCATTCTTCTCTGGTTGTTGGTTTCAAACATGTTGTATTTTCTTTAATATATGGGATAATCCTTCCCACTGACTAGTATTTTCAAGATGGTTAAAGTTAAAACCACCAACCAGTTCTGATTAGACTTGCTACTTCGAGGTAGACTCCAGGTTCAGACATTTGAGGACTCATCAAGAACCAACTTCAGAGCTCACTAAAACTCTAAAACCCATTTGCCCCACAGTATGCCAACATTTCGCCCAACAATGTCCCAAACTTTAGCTAGACATATCACATGGATCCATATGGATCCACATGGAGTTCAATGTTCCACGATGTTCCAATATTTTCCCATCCATTGCATGACCCAAACCGTGGCGCCGTGGCGCCTAGGCAGAGGGATAGCATCAACGCGACCATCGAAGAGCAGATGCGGAGCCACAACATGGAACTGCCGTGCCTCGGCAGAGCTGCAACCGGCTTTCCACGGAGAATTTGGGTGTACCCTCTGGTAAACGTTTACAAAAAACGATGGAAAATCACCTGCATTTTTCATAGGTAAATCATGGTAAAGCAAGTATAAATGTCTATTTTCAATAGCTATTTTGACATAACCAGAGGGTAATGATATGGGGGTGTTCATTAAAATCTTGGTAAATACTATTGAATAGGCCATCAAGATCCATGAAGTATCAATTATCGTCAACACTTATTGATGTGAATTAATATAACAATCTGGGTAAATTATCACGACCGAACCCTGTTCTCCCGAACCCTGGAATCATGGTTTTTATATGGGAAATTACCCCCAAATGGCCCAACAATTCAGGTTAGTGAAATATTTCGAAATTAAAACCCAGATAAAGAGTGGGGAACCCTAAATAGATGTGTTTTTTTTTTTTAATGGACCCGTTAAATTTGGGACTAAAATCTGTGACATACTGTGTGTAATTGACAATGCCATAATAAACTTACCACCAATTTTCCTGGGAATGGTAAGTTTATACCACCTTTAAAATGATGATGACTGGGGGATGGGTTATTATAAAATACATTATATACTGACCCATTTTTTTATGGGAGGAATGGTTATAGATACTTCATGGGTTACTATTTGAGGATAATATATATATATATATAATCCCTATACAGTAATTTCAAGTCAACAATTCTATGAGATTGATATGATATTAATACATATTAAATATTAAGACTATGATGATTTACAATTGGGATAGTGACAGACACACAAACATAACACACACACACACATATATATATATATATATACATAGCTCTATGAATCTATATAAATTGATAGAACATTGGGTTTCATATTAAGATTCATATATAACACAGACATTGATATGTCTATATATTTATCTATCTATATATATATATATTTGTGTTCATATTAAGACATTGGGTTTCTCAAAGAACATTGGCTTCCGAAGTTGCGCGACTCTTGGTTCAGTTCAGGTTGGTGACTGATCCGACCTCGAAAGTGGCTTTATCCTTCATGGTCCCCGCCGTGGTTCCTCGACGGGGATTGTGGGGATCTGATCATGCGATGATCGCTGAAATACCTGGCAAACGAAAAGAGTTTGCTATTGAAAATGAGCCATTTATGTTTGATTTACCTTTAAAAATGATGGATTTTCCACAGTTTTTTGTATGTTTACCAGGGGGTAACTGATATAACCACCAATTGTAGGATAATTTTGGAGAATTGGGATCTAAAATCAACCAGAACTAGATATAACTAGCTAGGATACAATGGGAATATTGGTGCATTTACGGTTTGGTAATCAAACATGGCTAGCTGACAAATATCTGTAAATGGAGGTTTGAATAAGAACATTATATAGATAATGGAGGAATTTTCCATTGCCACGTTTGATTGCTGGAGGGTCGCAAGCCCAATAGAGATCCTTGAAAGATGGTGAAATTTAATGATCACTGACATTTAGATATTTCATATGGTTTAATTGATTGGGATTTGACTCATGCAAATAATATGAACAATTGACCACTCCATTTTCTGGACTTGGATTTGGGACCCTTTTTTCGCCTTTTCTTTTGCGGGGGGGGTTTTGATAGATCGTGGGAACCCCATACTGGACCGACCTTCGGTGAGAGCCACAAACGAAATCATTATATAAGTTGGTTAAACATAATTCCAATTTCACTATGGTGTATGATCCTTGTATATAGTATCCATGGATGTTATAAACCAACAACATTACATTTGGGGGCCAACTAACTGTAGGGTTGGGTTGTAGGGGAACATGTTCAATCTCTGGGGTCAAAACGTGAGTAGGAGCCCACATTCCTGATCCTCCTTTTTGTAGTGGGTGTATTAATTTTTGGGGTTTCATGTGCGGGCTCTTTTGAATCCCATATGCTCAAGGTATGGCTTACTGACCTGCATAGAACATACAGGGTAGATATATCACATTTGTGAAATAAGCACTCATTTATAGCCGCTTCCTGCAGATCCACGATTATTTATATATATATATACATGTATATATTGATAATCATTTGCCATGCTTGAGTTATGGAATTTCACAATATGCGTGCTGATGATATTATATATACAGCATAGCATATCCAAGTTTTATAATAGCATTCTTCTTACATAACACATGTCCACATGATGTTTTTCTACCATGATTCTGTACCCATTTCCATTTGGAACCCCCATACCTCCTCCTGTTAACAAAAAACTGGACGGAAAACCCATGAACATCCAGCATTTGTAGCTGATTTCCTAGGGAACCAGTGGTTTTCCCACATGTTTTTCTCGCCTGGTCACCCTGTGAAGGAGAAGCAGTGGCGCAGCGAAGGCTGCGCGGAGCAAGTCGTGCTTGGAGACCGGGCAGCAGTCACCACCTTTCACCAGCAGAAGCTGCGGTAAACCCAAGATGAATGGAGAATAATGAGCGGATGTGGGATAAGAATGGGATAATTTGTGATAAATCCAATGATCAATGGGATTCTTTCAGGTAGTTTGATAATAGTGGGAGAAGTATATGATAACTGGTTGGTGGTTTGGAACATTTTTTGTTTTCCATAATATATGGGATGTCATCCTTCCCATTGACGAACTCATGTTTTTCAAGATGGTTAAAACCACCAACCAGGATAATAATTATAATCTAGTGAGACAGTCTCTAGTAGAGGACCCCCAGGACTTAGATGTAGAATGCCCCCCATATGGTTGGTTAATTGGATGTCTTATGATTGGGTTACCACATTACAACTGAATGGTTGTACTGCCATTGTTCGCTACCTAAGGTACCTAAGCACTCAAGAACATCCCATGTGTTTGCTTCAGAATGCGGTTGATATATGGTAGTATGCCATATATGGAATCCTCCGCTAAGTTGGATTGTCACCCACCAGGTTTCATTGGGTTTATTTACAATGTGGGGCCCCCTAGATAGCAAGGCTGGTTCACCACCCACAATAATTTTATGGTTTATGATTCCTACAACTTAGCTAATGGCAGTTTACACCAACTAACTGGGTGGCCCCCACCTTGTATACCTCTGTTTTTTGTTGTTGCAGTTGTTGCATGCCATCCATGGTGAAGCTGGTGGTGGGATGTGGGATGACCGTCTCCAGGATCGCTGTTCCTAGCGATGTGTGAGCTGTTGCTTCGCACCGCGGCCGTTTGCATCTCGGGCTATCAGGGATGTCATCGTTTGATTCTTGCTGGGTAGGTGTGATGAGTTAAACATTGCAAGACCTGCTAGGGTCAAGACTTATACTGCGAAGAGAGAATAACAACAGTCTGTGCTGTGAACTATTTGAAACCTTTGTAGGGTGATTACAGTATCTTAACTGAATAGGAACAAAAGACTTAAATCGAAGCTTTGGTTGGACAGGGGGCCAGGTCATCGTCATTTGCTCCAAGTTGAACCTCCAGCGAAGCAACGTTTAACCCATAGCGGAGTTACACCATGTTTCATGGGTAAATTCATGGAACTAAATGGGATTGATAATCCCACTATAACGATAGTTGGGTAAATCTCCCCGCTAAAGCCAATGACAAATGGGTATTTTCCACATTTTTCTGTATTGGATGGGAGGTTAAGAATTCATCATCCGAGGCAAGAGCTTGATCCATGGCTGTGGCATGCTGGGCTTGCAGAAGTCTCCAGCTTTACAGCTGAATGTGGGCTACAACTGCCTGAGCTTTGTCGCCGGGTTGCGGTTAACTGGGTTTCACCCAACCTGGAGAGAGCTACGATTTTTTGATGATCCCCTTGGGGTGTGGCAGGGTATCTCGGATTGGTATTGCTTTAGCAGGGAATATTGGATCCAGGGAAGAAATCAAGATTTGACAAGACGATCCCCGTATCTCAGTTTCAATGCTTATTGACATGGAACAATGGGGTCTTATTTTGACAGGCAAACTAATGCTCATGACACTCATGGTTTTATTCATGGTTTCTTCATGGGGGGTGCACCATCCATTTCACTATATGTATGCGTATATATATATATATATATATGTACCATCTGGTTATTTAACATAGCCATGGAAAATCTCCATTTTTACTAGGTAAACCACCTATTTCTATGGGCCATTTCCCATGGCTATGTTAGTCATAACCAGAGGGTATATGGAATCCCTAAAAGTAAGCTATATGTCGTATGGCCAAATGAAACCAGCCAAAAGGTGATAGGTGAAACCAAGGTTGATTACATCCTATCAAGTGAAACCAAGGGAGATGGGAAAGCATGCTTCTCCAAGACGGAAGACCCCAAAAATGTTGCGGATGATTGACAATATTGGAAGGATTCAGAGCGCAGAAACACCTTTCCTCCCAGCCATATGGCAAAATCAGTTGGTGTGTCTCCTTCCGGCCATGCAGAAACATGTCAACACCAAGAGTGGTCCGAGGACTGTTGATGTGTTCGTTTTCCACTGCGTGGGTTGCCTCAAAATTGCAAACGCTGAAATCTAGCGGTGTATCATCACATTCTGCGCATTCCCCAATCAAAAAGGCATAAATTGAGATGGCGGCAGTATCCACCTCACTTGAGACGCACCCATATTCCAATTTTTGTTTGTGAAATCCCCTAAATGTTAAAAAATGTTAAACCCAATCCGACTCATTTCCAATAGCCACTTCAGAAGTGAAGCTCTCTGAGGTCATATTGGTACCTTTTGCACTAATGAATGTCACTTTGGCTGGGGTTCGGTTCTGCGCCGTCCTTGCTGCACATTTTTTGTGGGGCAGGATCCATGGCTTCGGCTGGTGGGCCAATACTCGGGGCAGGTCTAAACCCAATGGTATACCATTGGGTTACCATATGCTTTACCCGCTGGTAAGCTAACATAACTATGTAAAACCACTATTTTATAGCTGGGAAAATCAACTATTTCTATGGCCATTTTCAATAGCTATGTTAAATTACCGGAGGGTATCATTGTTTACCATAACTGTCCCCTTTTTCCATTGGCAAAAAGCCAGCGGCTCGGAGATTAGTCCTTTGACTCAGCGTTCATGCTTGGACTCCACAAGAGGCTGAAAGCCTGAAAGCCAGTGACTCCTACACCATCCCCAACACCAACAACGGGTAGTAGTATGTAGTAATATGTAGTAATAACCATCCCCAAAATGGCACAAGTTATCTTAGAAACAAATTGCATGGACGGTGTAAACCATTCCCAAATGGTAGCCTCAAATGCAACAGTTTTTCTTTGCAACGCTTTAGTGCCTATAAAATGAATATGGTCCTGCGACACCAACCCCCAACCAACCACCATCGCCTGAGCGCCAAGGTCCAGTGGAAGAATAAATCCTTACACCTGTGGCTGACAGGATTGGCGTACTTGGACCGTGCCTGGGTGAGAATTTTCCCATGAAATGCTCTGGGGATATGGGGGATATCATGGGTGAAGTGGCGCGAATGAAGCTGCCGAAGAGCTGGCTGGCTGATATGGCCGGGCCACCTTCAGCCTCGCTGAACTGAACCAGATGGCGATATCGCCTCCCCAAAAAAATGGCAATAAAATGCTGTTTTCTGGGGATCTTAATGGGATATGATCATGGGAATACCAAGTTGTGCCAATAGTAATATGCACTGAACATACCAATGATATGTGGATTCGGAAACCACGGGGATCCTGGGGATCCCGGAGATGCCACATGCCCACTATTGGAGTTGTTAAAGCAACTTAGCTATCCTTTGGTGGCCCCACTTTGTACATTCAAACCGCCATCACCCATGTGGTATCATGTGGTTCATTGTGTTTCCCTTTGCACCTTGGTCAAACATGAGCAGACAGTGCTTGGGAGCCTCACGCTTTCCTCCACTCGTAGGTCTGGTCTCTTCGCTTCCCTTGTTGCATTTTGCATGTGGTCGTGGTCATGAAGAAAACCTTATCTCTTGTGATGCTTGGCACAGTCTGAGCAGCAAAGCATGGGCTGGAAAGTTATATAGTTGATCAAAGGAAGACTTTTGACATACCCTTTGGTAAACTAACATAACCATGGAAAATCAACATTTTTTGGGTAAATCAACTATTTCTATGGCCATTTTCAATAGCTATGTTAAATTACCAGAGGGTACAAGGAACCTCGTTCCTTGAACGATCGACATCCATCACCATGATTGCACCAGGACAACTGTCGTTGCAACCCATTTATGGTGGGGATGAAACAAACCATGTCAACCCCAGTTACTCTTCGGTGATCACACATGGCAATTGGAATATTCATTATGTGTAGATGATGTTCCCACTAAACCCTCCATTTCTAGGTGCTTTTGATTGACGTGCATCCGGTCTGGCATGCACATCCTTTGGGTGAAATCCGAGGATAACTATCCAAATGAAGAGGAGTGCCAGTCCATCGTCTACGACCGTTTTCACCTGCCACTTGGAGTGCAATGGGTGAAGCTGTGGAATTTGACAGATGTATGATGTATGTATTTTGCATTTGCTTTTCTATGTTTCTAGCTTTCTATTTTTCTATATGTTTTTCTTTCTCTATGTCCTATCCTATCCTATCCTATCCTGTCCTATCCTATCCTATGTATTATCTATCTATATCTATCTGATAAATAAGCTCTTAGCACGTTTGGCTGATTCTAAAAGACAATTGCACGGCAGTTCCTATACCTGATATATGAGCGTTGTATTGTGCTTGATTGTCACTAGGTCATTTTGCTTAAGTCCTTGAGATTTATTGACTTGTTTTATTTATTTCAGGGGTTCACTTCAGGTTGCAACACATGTGGAGTTTTTCGCCAGTTTGGAGAGTCATTGTTGGAAATCAATAGGACGATCTCATACCAAACCACCACCCCTTCTAAAGTCTTCTAGTTTATAGTCTTTTCAAAAGGCCGTTCATTTGGTTTAACCACCAAATGCATTCAAATGCAAGTTCCCAAATCACCAAGCGTCAGGATGTATTTGCCAACGCGGGCCCAGGCAGATGTTGAGTGTGATGGCGCAAGTCGTGCTATTGCCGGAGTACAAATATTGCTCCTCGATTAACAGCCGGAGGTGAAGTGAAAAGTGGGACAGTGGGTACGGGATGGCTCAACGGTACAGGCAGAGAGAAGTGATTAAAATCGATTGCTTTGGTTTCAAACCACCCCCAGTGAAAACGGATACCCTCTGGTAAACTAACATGACCATGGACAATCACCATTGTTAATAGGTAAATCAACTATTGTTATGGGCCATGTTCAATAGTTATGTTAGTTTACCAGAGGGTATGTGATAATTGTGTTGTTTCTATTCCCGGCCCAGGTGGGTGAAGCATGCAGCACCAGATATGTTTGCTTAGCGTCAATTTCCAGGGTCTCGCTAAAACTCAGTTTTACATATATTTACACATATATCATTTATGTGTGTATATATATATATATAGATTTCCATGTTTTTGATTTTTGATATTTGCATTTGTCTATATATATATATCCATTTATCTACCGATTATTTGTATATCTCTATATAATATATATATATAATTATATATATATATAAATCATAGGTCGTAAATATTTCATATTTTCCAATTTTTGTGAACGCCCCAGGGAGGTCAATGGACCATCAGCAATGTCCCAGCGCTCATTCTGTAGGGATCATCCCAAACGACCATTGAATTCCCGCAGCCGCAACAGGGGAGGCTCATTCAGGGTCCATGAAAACCATGAACCACCAAAAAGCACGATTGTAAGAGTGGATAAAATGTATTAAATGCATTCACCATCTATAATTGGGGTTCACCAGGATTTATCAACCATAACCAGGTACTAGCATGTATTAGCCATTTATGAACCATCTACTAACCATGTATTAAATATGTAGTGACCATTGATGTACAATTTATTACTTTTGTTATCCATTTATTAACTATTCATTTATGTATCAACCATTTATTATCATTCACCATCAATGACTGTCCCCATGTTCTGACAGGTTCCTACATGTGGATTTGGATTTTCGTGGCTACCCTTCTCTCAAGCACCTTTGTGGTGGACGAGCGGATGGGCAGGACAGGGGCGCCTGGTGTGCGTGTGTGTGGACGAAACGAAACGCGGACCCGGGGAGATCCCCCATGGCCCAATGGAGAAACAAAATCAATGACATACCCTCTGGTAATGACTAACATAGCTATTGAAAATGGCCCATAAAAATAGATGATTTATCTATTAAAGATGGTGATTTCCTATAGCTATGTTAGTTTACCAGAGGGTATTGTTCATTGAAAAACACAACATGTATTCTGTTCTTGTTGTTGGGGTTTTGTTGGGCGCACACTTCTGTGTTTTTTTTCCTGGTGGCACACCTCATGTTGGATGTGTTTTTTGGCGTTAATTATCATTATTATATTTTTTTCTGGGGGCATACCTCATGTTGGATAAACAACATGTAAACATATGTAAACCATGGATTGGGAAAGCCTGGTTGACCAATTAAGGGGTTGACCGGCAAAAAGTCATACTCTGCCACTCTGCTACTAAAACCGCATTTCCTGAGATGAAATTCGACCCAGCTCATGAATCCTGGGGACAAAAAATCAGGTCAAGAGGCAACCCGTATGGACTTCGTCATTGGGAAAGTGATATCGACGATCCCAAAACTGAATTACGAATGGATCACAGGATAGACACCGACGACGCCAAAAATGAGTTCTTTGTGAGGCAGGGGCGTTTTTTGTGGATAGCGTGTTTGATCATTGGTTTGATCCAATTCAACTGCTTCTATCTGGTGTGGTCAGGAGGGAGTTAAGGAACCATCACTATGCATATTCCAAAATGCGGAGTCAAGGAGCTAACAAGAGATTCCCAACCAGAAAGTTTATGATCTTCTGGTTGTTCATCCGTGGTTGCGTTATGGGATCATCATCAGTTTCCCGATGAACACTTGGCCATTTTGGGAGGTCAAAAATTGGAACATGTTTTTTCCCCACCTGCCAGGTGAGGGTTGTTAGATTTTATGTCAGTTGCCTCCTCCTTCTCCTGCTCCTCCTCCTCCTCCTTCTCCTCCTCCTCCTCCTCGTCCTCCGCCTCCTCCTGCCTCGTCCTCCTCTCCTCCTCCTCCTCTCGTTGTCCTCCTCGTCCTCCTGCTCAACTGCGACTCGCGATCCACAGTGTTCGCTGTCGGACCTCAACCACGACCATCCACGCCCAGTGTTCCCTGCCGGACCTCAACCACGACCATCCACGCCCAGTGTTCCCTGCCGGACCTCAACCACGACCATCCACGCCCAGTGTTCCCTGCCGGACCTCAACCACGACCATACACGCCCAGTGTTCCCTGCCGGACCTCAACCACGACCATCCGCGCCCAGTGTTCCCTGCCGGACCTCAACCGCGAGTATCCATGCCAAGTGTTCCCTGCCGGACCTCATGTAGGAATGTCAGATAGACTGCCAGATAGAATGCCAGATAGAATGTCAGATAGGATGCCAGATAGAATGCCAGATAGAATGCCAGAAAGAATGCCAGAAAGAATGCCAGATAGAATGCCAGATAGAATGTCAGATAGGATGCCAGATAGAATGCCAGATAGAATGCCAGAAAGAATGCCAGAAAGAATGCCAGATAGACTGCCAGATAGAATGTCAGATAGAATGTCAGATATAATGCCAGATAGAATGCCAACATATATGCCAGAATGTATGTCAGATAGAATGCCAAAATATATGTCAGATATAATGCCAGATAGAATGCCAGAATATATGCCAGAATATCTGTCAGATAGAATGCCAGAATATATGTCAGATATAATGCCAGATAGAATGCCAACATATATGCCAGAATATATGTCAGATAGAATGCCAAAATATATGTCATATATAATGCCAGATAGAATGCCAGAATATATGCCAGAATATATGTCAGATAGAATGCCAGAATATATGTCAGAATAAATGACAGGTAGAATGCCAGAATATATGTCAGATGAAATGTCAGAAAATATGTCAGATAGAATGCCAGATAGACTGCCAGATAGAATGTCAGGTGGAATGTCAGGATATATGCCAGATAGAATGCCAGAATATATGCCAGAATATATGTCAGATAGGATGTCAGAATATACTAAATATATGTCCAAATATACGTCCTGACATGTCATGGTGGGGATCACACGAAGTAGAGTAATTTTGACACACCCATATTATACAAGTCCCAGCCGATGGTTTACAGGATGAGACGGCAAACAAATCTAGCCATAGCCGTGGCTGACCGTGGATGCCAACATGAACTCAAATGAATCCGATCAACTTCAATTACATAAGCAGGCAGCCAAAATCTGAGTGGTTTGTTATGTTTTCTTTTTACAAACATGGTTTGCATTCGCTGATCCATTTATTGCCGGATGGATACCAACAGCAATTGAGACCAGATCAACTAGTCACAGCTCCCTGGACCCCGACAGGCTGCTACTGCTATCTTTAGTTCAGATGGTGGCCAATAGAAAGTGCCCTGGCATGGAACAGGGGGGAACATATGGCCACCTATCCCAAGAAAATGAGGAGACCTGACCTCGGACCTCAGAACCATACTTTGGAACTTTTGAGTCCGAAAATGGCCCAGAAAGGTCGAAGCAAAGCCGTCAAACTGATTAAAAACGCATACATTTGTTGAGCGTCAAGCTCGGATTTCGGAGGGATGTGTGTGTATATATTAATGTATAGCTGGTATGTATTTTTAGTTGCACGCGGTGACTCTCCTTTGTGTTTTCTCCAGGACAATGGTTAGGGAAGGGCAAAACCTGATCCAAAGCTGGAGGTACACTGGTTTTGTATGGTTGTATAATGTGTTTTGAATTGGGATCAGTGTAATGTGGTAAAACATGGTAAAACCCCACAGTGAGGTAAAACCATCTCATTCACCCAGCACTTCGGGGGCAGTATACCACCAAACCACCAAACGTTAGGTGGTTAGGGGATGGTTCCAGACATGTTTTTTCCACCCTCCGCCGAGGAAATGCACCATGGAGGAGCAGAATCGGGCCTTGTTTCTGACGAACAACAAGCGTCCTGGCAGCAGATCGGTGTTTCTGAGAACCGCTGGGCTTAGTTGGGAACCCATCCATATGGTGATAATATGTGATAATATAGGCCATAGATGGCCATAACAGTATCAAGAGTTTATTCGCGCTTCATTTTGGACTTATATCACTAGGGTTTTATGTTATTAATAAGCAGATACTTGTTGGCATGCACATGCAGGGATGTCCGTTCCCAATTCCTCAGCTGCAGCAGCTGCAGATGGTGATGTGCAGACTGTGTCTCAAGCGGGTCCGACACAGAGAATTGTTTTATATACATTGATGTGATTAATAAGGGAAATCATCCCCCAAATGGCCTTAATTCAGGTTAGTGAAATATTATAATTTACCCAGATTGATGGTTGGCAATGGTTGATGTTGATTGGGGTTCTTATTCCAGTTTACGGACTTCTACTTAGATGTGCGCAGTGTAGCAGGGTAGTTTTTTTCCCCCCCGCTGGTGACAAGTTGAATGCAGTGGTGCACCGGAAATCTCGCAGAATATCCAACAATACACATTCACATTCCATTAACAGGACGAGACCTCTAAACCTTATGACTACTGTTTTTTCTCAAAGTCATTAAGTTTTGCCGTTTTGCCCCCTTCGTGATTTGCGCCCCATACGGGTAAGGAACAAGAAAGTGAGCCAGAGCATGTTCAAGGCTGGCAACGGTTAGCATCCAACTTTGAGTAGGAATCCGTTGTGAATCACAGATAGGGAGTATTAGATTCACTGGCCATTGATATGTTGTTAGTTTGACTGATTGATACCGAACATTGATAATGATGACAACCCTTTTTGTTTTGTTACATATAGCCATATAGTGTATCACTATTATTTGCTCATTGCATTTTGCTTTACATGGTACATGTCACTTCGTTTGGTTGTTTTGTTGCTTGTATGGTGGCTCGCCCTTTGATTGATTGTTCATCACAGTTTCATTACATGTTCAAATTGCATATGTTACAACAACGTTGCCAATTATGTTTTACTGGTGATGATTTCACATTGTATATTCTATTGATTTTTCCCCACCTGCCAGGTGAGGGTTGTTAGATTTTATGTCAGTTGCCTCCTCCTTCTCCTCCTCCTCCTCCTTCTCCTCCTCCTCCTTCTCCTCCTCCTCCTCGTCCTCCGCCTCCTCCTGCCTCGTCCTCCTCTCCTCCTCCTCCTCTCGTTGTCCTCCTCGTCCTCCTGCTCAACTGCGACTCGCGATCCACAGTGTTCGCTGTCGGACCTCAACCACGACCATCCACGCCCAGTGTTCCCTGCCGGACCTCAACCACGACCATCCACGCCCAGTGTTCCCTGCCGGACCTCAACCACGACCATCCACGCCCAGTGTTCCCTGCCGGACCTCAACCACGACCATCCACGCCCAGTGTTCCCTGCCGGACCTCAACCACGACCATCCGCGCCCAGTGTTCCCTGCCGGACCTCAACCGCGAGTATCCATGCCAAGTGTTCCCTGCCGGACCTCATGTAGGAATGCCAGATAGACTGCCAGATAGAATGCCAGATAGAATGTCAGATAGGATGCCAGATAGAATGCCAGATAGAATGCCAGAAAGAATGCCAGAAAGAATGCCAGATAGACTGCCAGATAGAATGTCAGATAGAATGTCAGATATAATGCCAGATAGAATGCCAACATATATGCCAGAATGTATGTCAGATAGAATGCCAAAATATATGTCAGATATAATGCCAGATAGAATGCCAGAATATATGCCAGAATATCTGTCAGATAGAATGCCAGAATATATGTCAGATATAATGCCAGATAGAATGCCAACATATATGCCAGAATATATGTCAGATAGAATGCCAAAATATATGTCAGATATAATGCCAGATAGAATGCCAGAATATATGCCAGAATATATGTCAGATAGAATGCCAGAATATATGTCAGAATAAATGACAGGTAGAATGCCAGAATATATGTCAGATGAAATGTCAGAAAATATGTCAGATAGAATGCCAGATAGACTGCCAGATAGAATGCCAGGTGGAATGTCAGGATATATGCCAGATAGAATGCCAGAATATATGCCAGAATATATGTCAGATAGGATGTCAGAATATACTAAATATATGTCCAAATATACGTCCTGACATGTCATGTTGGGGATCACACGAAGTAGAGTAATTTTTCTGTGTATCAAATGTTCTACTATTGTTATGATTATTAGTAGTGTTTTGTTTTGTTGTGATTGCTTCGTTTTGCTTGCCACAGATTCTGGAATTCATGGTGCCAAACTTTGTGCTACTCGGCTGAGATTGGTGACCTGTCCTTTCTTCGTTGAACACGAGTGTTTTTTTTTAGGAATCCTCTCGCCTATAATTGTTGTGTCAAATAAACTTGACACACATGTTACACATGTTCTATTTGCCTCATGTGGGCTAAGTTTTTCCTACATGCGCTGCTTTGACTGCTCAAAACCGTCACTCTTGCCTTAGGTCCCTTTTTGCAATCAGTCTTTTTGTAATTTTTTCAGTGCGGCAAGTGATCCAGGATTCTACCCATGTTGCGTCACGCGCAAGCGCCTGGCACTTCGCTGGCTCAGTTGTCTTACCGATTCGACTGTGCCGCTTGGACTGCCGAGAAGTGGCGAAGTGGAACTTGGGTTCGAAGATGGAATAATTGGTGTTGAACACCCTAAAAAAAATTAAAAGACATATCAAAAAACATGGAAAGCACTGGGAATCAAAAGATGTTGAGGTTTAATTGGGCTTTGGCTTCGCCTTGTGTACCACTTGGATGGCTGAAGCTGAATATCCCAGATAGACCATTCCATATGTGGGGCTCAGTTCCATTTGTTGTTTTAATGTTGTTTTAGTTTCACCTCATGAATGCTATATTTTTTGTATGGCAGCATGGCTATAGTTTGAGTATCATCTAAACTACGTACAGTTTTTGGAGTTATGGCCGTTTATGAGTTATAACTGGTTATTACACTCTATCAATGGGGTTTTCTTAGTACTTATAAGTGGTATTTCGGGCCATAACTGTGGAGCTATGTTCACCAAGCACTTCGCGAATTTCGTAGGCCTCTTCGTAGCGGGGCCGTTCGACATCGGCAGGCCTCGGTGCTGTTTCTGGCCTTTGATCATTTCGAGGAGATCCTTCAGCAGTTTTCCCCACCTGAGCCTTGGAGAAATGTTGAGGACATGTTGATCATTAATGTTACCCTCTGGTTATGACTATCAGTTTGCCATGGAAAATCACCATGCTATTAAGAACGGTCAACCCAGGTAAACCAACTATAAATAGGCCATCGTCTATCCCATGGCTATGTTAGTCATAACCAGAGGGTAAATATGATACGTATGAAACCCTTTCCGAATGGATCATTTCCATAAGTTAATATGATGATTGTTATATGTTGACTTGGAATTTTGATGGGAATGGTGGATTTAATGATGGTTGAACGGTTGAACCAACAGAATCCCACAGAAATGGAATGAAATGGAGGACTGGCCAGCAATGTGAAGAGCCATGTTGAGGAAATTCTGCAGTTTCTGAACAAATTCTACAACCGCTGCTCGGCAATAAACGTTTCTGGGCAACGGGTCCGAGTTTCCGCCGGTTGTGACAAGCCCAGGTTTCGATGTGCTTTGCGCGAAGTGCCACGTGACCAAGAGACTTGGCCTGGTCTAATGGTGTCTAATGATAAACCATGGATAAACCATGATAAGTTGGTGATCATAACTTCAATAACTATGGTTTATGGTAGGCATAACGAACTAGTTAATGGGGTTTATAAACCAACGTTCACATCACTGGGGGGCACCACATTTATACATGTTGGCTATGTTTCTTTGATTCTTTTTGCATGGTGTTAGCACTCCATTGTTAGGGCTGGTTGTCCAATTCCAAGAGGCAACTGAAATCCGTAACTGGGTTCTGGGTTCCATAGCCCACCTTAAATGTATTTAATGTAGCACACACATATTGCATCATTATACAGTTTATACATAATAGTTAATAGTTATATATGCATACATAATCTATCATAATGTATTGTTACACCATGTTAAATCGGTGTGTTGAATGCCTCAAATTCCGTTCCAGGATGGACAAGGTGTCCGCCCTGAGGATCGAAACGGTGGCCGAGGAATACGTCTGCGCCGTGGGGGTGCAACCCGGCTCTGAAGCGGAGAGCCCGGAGGAAGGTCTCTGCAAGCTGAAGCTCGGATCGCCGAAGATCCCCAAGTCACTATGGGTTTCAAATGGTACGTTTCAATACTAAATCATGGTATGTCATGGTCAGTGTCCCCATGACTTTGGAAAGCTCCTAAAAAAAGACATCAGATCTTCAATCGATTGTTTTTCTTAAGGACAATCTGCAGGAAATTTAATTGTGTTTCACCACCAAGAAAAGGGTTTTCCTATGTTTTCCTGCAGGTTTTCCCTTCAACAAATCCAGGGAGATTTTTAGTAAGTATGACCACCAACAAAAAGCTTTTCTTTTTTTGGATGGATGACAATCAATAGGAAGGACATGAAGTAGCCGGAGTGTATGTGTGTGTGTGAATTGCGACGCTTCAGCCTAATTCTTGTTGATGGGCGATATTTGAACCCAATTTGTTCATAAGTTTTTCGTGTGATGCTTCTATGCTTCGTTCTATGTGGTGATGATTTGCCCTCCTTTGCTTGCATCTTGAGCTACTTCAATATATCCACACAGAGGAACGCATGTCTCACAAATCAAGGACATACTTCTTTGTGAGGTGTCTAAAAAGTTTGTGTTAGTCATATACATATGTATATATATATATATTTTTTTTTTTAATGTCATATAGCCATACATATTTATATACACATTTGAATATATATATATATATATATACATATATATATATACGTATATAGCCATATAGCCATCATTTCACCGCGCCCCTGGCGCCTGTCCCGGAGGTCATGTTTCGATATGTTTCGCCGTGGCGGTTTCAGCCGAGGATTGCATTTGCCAGGGAAGTGCTGAGCTATGAGGAAGCGATCTTCAGGATGGGCATCCATTCAGGTGAGGATCCGACTGCGGGGCAGAGTGATAACATGTGATATCTGAAGTTCTTCTGGGTATGGTAAATGAATTGCTGGATGTTTCCATATGTGTATATATATATATATGCTTATTTAAATACATGTGCATATTTGTTTAAATACATAATGAATTGTAACCCTGTTTTTAATGTTGATTACTTTACTGTTGCTTTGATATCGGAACGGCTGTTTCAACCAGGGTGTTGCGCTGAAAAGGGTGTGTTGGATGTTTTTTTTAAAAAAAATAATCGGGACAAATCACTACTGTGGCTACAATAGCTAGTATGCATGAATGTTTTGATATGGACATGAGAGACTCCACTGCAAGTTTGCCCCATTGCGTAGCATGACTCTGGCTGTGCCTTCTTGTTTTCGTAAAGCAACACAACCGATCCTGAGATAGCATGAGTACATGACAGATCCTTTCGCTAGCCATTTATCCATTTAGTTTACGTGGTGAAGTTCAAGTTCATGACATAAATGTTGATAGAAAGTTTTGTTGGGTGAGACACAGGTACACGGGGCCCCCAAATTGCAAGTTGGTTTATAAACCCATGAATACTATATTCATCAAAAACCATAGTTATTGGAGTTATGTTTACCAATTTAGCTATCTAGGGGGTGGCCACTTTGTCTATGTAGGTATGCCTATTGGGTCATGAAAACAATGCTATAAGTTTGGCTCCTCCCACAACCTGTGCAGGTTCCCTTCCCAAGACCGCAAGGATCATCGTTAGAAGATTTGTTTGTCAGGAGGGCGTAAATGGATTGTTTTTTAACATCCATATTGTACAGGGGGTTCCTAAGTCATGGTACCCCAATAGCTGGATGCTTTATGGAAAATTGCAGCTATAAATGGATGGCTGGGGGTGCCTGGAGTGGAAACCCCCATCAACTCATCAACAACAACTGTACGATTTCAGAAATAAGGCATAGTCTGTGTGTGTGTGTGTGTGTCACGTGTTTCCATTACTGGAAAGGTCAACACACACACACACACATATATATATATATATATGCACATATATATATATATAATTATACATATATATATATATATAATCATATGTAAATATAACTATACATAATAATATATATATATGTGTGTTTAGATTAGTAGATGGTTGCTAAACCACCTACATTATAAGTTAGAGAATGTGTCGCAACCGACACAGCAGCTCCCCAGATTCGGCTCAGGTCCAGTGGTGGCCGGAGTCATCGGCAACAAGCTGCCGCGGTACCGACTCTTTGGCAACACGGTGAATATGGCAGCGCGGATGATGCAGATCCTAGGCGATGTGGGGATAGTGGGCTCGAAGATTTGCGAAATCGCTAAGTTGGTTGGTGAACAGAACTCCAATTTCACTATGGTTTATGATATTTATAGTCGTATAGTCATAGTATTGGTGGGGTTCATAAACCATCATAAACCAACAAACATAACTTGGGGGCCCCACATTGTATGGATGGGGCATGGGGTATATACTCGTTAGTTGCTGCAGTGGTCTTCTTTTGCTACCACTGGATATCATTTAATAGGGCTAGCCAGCTAGAAGAAGCTGTTGTTTTTCTTTTCAAACGGTTGCGAGTCTTATCCAACAGTGGCCATGTGGACGTGAGATGACGTGAGGCGTTGTGAAGATGCTTGGGAGGGAAAAAGGTCTAGCAGAGGTGGCTTTGTGTAAGGGAAATGACAAAGGGAAGCAGGGAACCAGGTGTTCAGTAACTGTGGTTGTCACTTCGTGTTGTTTTCAGACCAACCCAGCGAATGTTCGAGCAAAGCCAAAAAAAAAATGGCGCATGGTGGAGACATGTGATGAATTCTATCAATTGACGTGTGTAAGGAGTGCGGTGTTCAAAGATACGATCGTGACTAGTGACCACCATTTTCCGGACGCATGTCAATCTCACCCTAGTCTTCTGCCTCTAAGGTAACCCGGGGGATTTTACAGGCTTTGGGACGTTGCCTGACAGGCAAAAGGTGAGGATCCTCTAAAATAATCCAACTGTTACCCAAAAAAATCTGCTGATCTCTGGAACTTAGGAAGGGCCTCCCCGGGGAACTGCAGTTCGGGGAGGAAACGCGCAAGTTGCTGCCCGAGGACGTGCAGGTGGGGGATTGGACATGATTGGAAAAAAGGAAACATGATATGGGAATATAAGGGAAACATATGTTTCTTTTGGTTAAGATATTCACACCATGATTTATTGGACCTTGGATGGGGATAGAAGGGTGATTTCCGTCACTAAAATGGCTGGGGAGGATGGTGGATGGTGAAGACTGGATGAAAATGGCATAGAAACACTTGAAAGATGGCTTTTTGATATTTTTGGATTTGTTTGGATGTGTCTCTGTTTGATGAACCGTAATACAAGAAGATCAAAAGTCATGGGCTTTGGAAGGTGATTTTCTGATTTTATACAGATATTGGAGTTTTTGCCAGGTATTTACCGTTAATTAGGAAACATATGGCGTAAGTGTGGCCGTGAGAAGGTTAGTCTTAGAATAGCTCCAGCTATGAAAGTCGTGGTTGGTCCTTGTCCAGTCCGTGTTTCGCAATCATGGGGTTGTGGCGATGTCAACAGACCATGAATGTATGCATATGTAGAAACACACGTCCATATTTACCCATATGATCACAGCTATAAATAAATAGATATATATATATATATGTATATACGTACATAGTTATATATATTCCGTATATATGTATATATATATATATACACCGTGTATATATATATATATATGTGTGTGTGTGTGTCAGTGTGTGTGCATGTATATATATATATATTTACACACGGAATTTCGTATGAAGAATGGCATGCGTATAACAAAATATAGATTTGCAATGGATTTGAATGGGCAATGCTGCAAGCAAGACAAAAATTAAATGGTAGGTAGCACACAGACAAATGATTAAACAAAGGACGCATAAATTTGAGACGGCAATGGGGAGAGATATGGATCAATATAGACAATATAGATAGAAAACATGAAGCCAACCAATATGTGAAAGAACAGTTGGCAGATCGTTTATCACACTATGATCACTATTTTGATAGTGTTCCATACTTACCGGTAGTTACTAACTATATATATATAATATTATATATATGTATATTATATTGCTTCTCCTTACCTTCGCCCACAGGTGACGTACCGAGGAGAGGTCGAGATGAGACTCGTCGAGTTGACACGTTGTGAACCAGTTACATCAGTTACGAAGCGAGATCTTCCGACTGCAACTGGTCTCGTTATCATCATTTTGTTAATTATCATCATGCCGCAATGGTATAGGTATACAATAGGCTTAACGACATATAGGCTTTATAATGCTTTATATACATATATATATATACATATACAAACGTGTTTGTTTTTCCACGTGGCACTGGAAAATTACATATTATATTGATAGATGGTCCTATTTCATGTTTCTATATGTTGCTCAATTGAAAGTGATTTTCCCATCTCCGATTACCAGAGGCTATCCGTTTTGCTGTGCTATCAGCCGAGGAAGGGCAAAGGGCTCGTGAAGGTGCAACCTGGCCATTTCAATGGGGAAACTCACTACTGAAATGAATCAAACACTCATGGGGCCCCATATACATAGATGATTAACAAGGGAAAATCTTATGAAAATGGATGATAGCTGGGGGTACCACCATAAAAATGGAAACCTCCATTTAAATAGGCTGAAAACTGTGATCCATTGGATGATTTCACAAGCAGTTCGTGTCCATTGCCATCTTTGAGTACGACAGGGTCATCGATAGATAACTGTGTTTGAAATTTGTTCATTTAAATATACACATATATATGCATAGAATATATATATATATATTATGAAATGTGGTTGAAAATTGTGTAATTATATAGAATTATGTATGTATATATATATACACATTGTATGTGTATGTATATGTGCATATATTCTAGTATTCAAATATTGCGCACAGCTGGACTCTGCAGATTTACAGCTGGATTTTTTGGGTTCATTTGGATGTCGCTTCCCCCACTGGGCTTTCGAAAAAAATAGCCATGCTGCAATGCTGATGCTGAGGTATTTGTTGGATCACAAGGCCCGCACTCACAAGTCTCTTGGATTTCTTGGTGTTTCGGGTTGTTGTTGGCGGTTTGGTTTATCCACCAATGGATCAAGGGATCATCATCATCATTTTCCAACAAGAGGCCCATTTTCCAACACACTCATATTTTGGATAATAATGTATTAATCAACATATTATATTATTACTATATATATACACACTATATACTGTGTATAACATATAATTATACTATATACACTATACTGTGTACATATATATATATATATATAATGTATTATATTTACAATATCCAGCATATTTCCCGGATCTCCCATTCAATGCCTATTTCATCCGGCAAAAAGTTCTTCCATCCTTCAAGCACCGTGGGCCGCATTGGGAACTCGCTTCAGGACCTGTCCTTCGCTTCCGGTCTCCAAAGGCGGCCCAGTGAAGACGACCAAGGCCGCTTTCAGAAAGCATCCCATGGTGGATATAACGTGTGTGAACATGGTTGGTTTACATGTCTGTGTGTATGTATATATGTTTTTTTGTTTTTTCAATATATAATTATTATCTATGCATAATGATCTACACATCATGGCTCTGTGACTTTTTATTTTTTTTGATGTCTACACACAAATATGTGTGCATTACCATGGATAATGATCTGATGTTCCACAGAAACACCGTGGATACACCATGAACTTCCTGCAGCGTCCTGCTGAAAGCTGCCCAGCGAGGAACTGTACAAAGCACTTTTGGCGGGCAAAAATGCTGCTGAGGGTACCTTCTCCGCCTCATCCAGCCTCTCGGATTGTGGTCTTGGGGGGGATGTGATATTTTTTTGGTGAATAAGGTGTAGGTACAAATTATGGCGCATGAATTTACATATTTACATATGATATGGTAAAAATGAATATACTATATATATATATACATACATCATCTCATCACAGGTAGATTGCCAGATTGCCAGGGTTCTTCAGGTTGTGTGCGCACTTGGCTTGCGCGGCAGTGTTGATTGGGGTGTCCTCATGGGACGGCTGCGGACAGTCATGCCCGAGAGAGAGAGAGAGAGGACATAGCTAGACAATAATAAAAAAAAGTAGATTCTTAGATTATATACATATATGTAGACATGGTATGTTATTATGATAACATTATTTTATATTAGCACGTAGAGAAAGATAGAGCGACATAATCATGTGGACACGTTTTTTCTTGAGTGTAGCTGTAGAATATTTATGTGTGTGTTATACACATGTCTAATAAGTGTTTTTGCTGAATACCTCCGTGTGTAGCGTAAGTGACATGTAATGTTTATATTTGCATATACCTATGCAATTACAGTATATACCATATGTAAATGCACACGTGCGCCAAAGTGCGCAGGTAGTTTCAGGACTCAGGACACGGCAAATGCATGAGCTTTACGGACTTATGATCGGACACATCTTAATTTTACTATTGGAAGAATCCAACCTTTGTTTTGCAGTGGTTTGCCGGTAAGGTGTGATGAAGGTAAACCTAGTACAGTGGTGATGCAATGAATTTATCCTGGAACATTTCCTGGATTTATGCTGTACATCCACTGCTTCAAGTCATTCCATTTTTTTGAGTTTCAAACTACATAAGTTTATTTTCCAAATGAGCCTGACAGTTGGTTGGAACCATATTTTATGCATTTTATCACCGACTTCCATGAATGGTAGGGCCTTGGAAGGCTTACAGCTTATGTTGGTTATAATAGGTTTCAATATGCCTATCATCATACCCCATATAACCCTTGAAATCCTACGAAATCTCTGTTTTTGTTCGAAGAAATCCCAGTAAATCCCCATGTTTGTTGGAAAAATCCAACTCAATCTACATTTTTCAATGGGAATTTCAGGATATCCCCACAAAATATGGCCAAAAATATGGTACAGTACCTCCAATTTCGGATCCTGAAATTCCCATTGACCATTTGAGTTGGAAAAGAAACGTTAAAAGAAAGCTCCGGGGGTCGCATCGTCCAGGCGAATTCAACGAGATGCTTCGTGATGTCTTTCGCGACAGCGACACCATCGGCTGGAGACTCGGTGGGAAGTGGTCTCTTTTAAGCCACATATAACTGGGGTATACCGGTAATCAAACATGGCTACAATGTGGTGCCCCCCAGTGATAAGTTTGTTGGTTTAGTTTCACCCCATTACCTAGTTCGTTATATCTACCATAAACCATAGTGAAATTGATTGAAGTTGGAGTTATGATCACCAACTTAGCTATTGTTTGGGGGCCCCACTTTGTAGCCTGGGAAATCCCGAACTAGATGGAAGGTTTAAATTCAAGTTGGATGGAACATCATTTACGAATTGTGGATGTTCCATTGTTGGTAGGTAAGCCGGTAAGCCAGATTGGATGAATTGTAGTGACATCACTGTTTTCCATTACTGGAGTGATGCTTAGTATATATATATATATATCATCCCCAAGTGGCCAACCTTTTCAGCTTGTTATGATTCAGCCAGATACATACAGATACTATATAACTAGGGTATATCCCATACGCAACTGGATTAGAAAATGCTTATTACCCGCGGATCCTAACTGGGATGCACATCGCATGTTTGGAAATGATGGGATAGGCTGCTAGGCTTGGGATATGTTACTTGGGGGTTGTTGTTGGGATAATTTTTAATGAATACAACCATGGATACAACCTCTACAAGTCTGCTTATATACTGTATCCACTGATAACCGGAACTGCACTGCCAAGTAGCTGTACAATGTGGTAAACTGAATGCCTTAAAGGACCTTTAGGATTTATACCAACCATTTCGAATGAACATGGGATGGTGTATATATTGGCTATATAGGGGTTTAGAAGTCTTAGAAGCCACTTAAACTTCAGTAATTGTTTTATCAGCTGCCAAGCTCAGGGGTTACAATCGCATGGCCCATCAAGGCTGGAAAGAAGGCACGTGAAACATAAGAGTTTGACGGAAAAAATGAGGACTCCACTCATAGAAACGCAGCTCAGAACAGCTAAGTTTAACGATTGTATTACATTGTTTGGTGCTAGCTGAACACAAACAAATTCTTGGCACCCAATACCTTTGAAGGACAACTACCTGAAAGGACAACTACCTGAAAGTAATTACAGTGCGAATGTGAAACCATGTGAAACCACAAGAACTTCTAAGTTGCTGGTGATGCATTGGTGTCAGATGCCAACCCTGGATCAACAAGTCCCTGCCCTGTTTCATTGGGGGGTTTAGTAGCGAGTCATCAACCCTTTTCATTTGTCAACCAGGTTTCCTCTCGATCAAGTTTATTCAACCATGACGGCATACCGTTGTATACCCCAAAATGTCCAGGTATACCGTTTTGTGTCATGGTAGAGAATATAATTAGTCATTATTACTGCAAATCATGACTCACTCATCAACCAGGGTTTGGTCTCCGGGGTTGACACCTTCGATGTCCTTTCCCACAGCTTGATGAATAGAAGGTTCCCTCCATTAAATGTTCAATAGGTAGGTAACAATAACAAATTCCCAAAACCAGCGCCTTTGTTTGACAGTGGGGTTTCCTCCAAACTTGGCAGCCGAAAATCCTCCATTGATGGTTGACATGTTCCCATTCGATTTACGAGGGTATTGGTGTTCCCATGTTTGACACCACAGGGTATACCTCTATAAGTATACCCTACAATGTGGTGCCCGCCCAGTGATAAGTTTGTTGGTTTATAAACCCCATTAACTAGTTCGTTATATCTACCATAAACCATAGTGAAATTGGAGTTATGATCACCAACTTGGCTATCTGATAGTTATATCTGGTGTATTCACCACTGGGTTGCACCCCCACCCTCCCCTGGCCCAGGAGACGTGTTTTGTTCTGGCTTTGCCCTGGCTGGGGACGATTTCCAAAGGAATTGGAGCAGGAGCCACTTGGAAATCGCCACTCAAAAGGATCTCTGTGATACTGCAACAACCATAATAACTATCATGGCAACAGGATGGGATATACATGTAGGTCCAAATGACGATATCTGTGGTTTTTCTGTGTTTGAAGATGTGGGGTGTGCGTGCCCAGTTTGCACTCCACCATCCAGCTTGGAACCATCCACGGTGATACCCTCTGGCAAACTAACATAACTATGGAAAATCCACAATTTTTTATGGGTAAATCCACTATTTCTATGGCCATTTTCAATAGCTATGTTAGTCATTACCAGAGAGTACTGGCTCATGGTTTACCACTTACAATGCCTGGGATGTATCTCCAAATCGGCGGTTAGGGTCTATTATTCCACTGTGGACACCGAGGTACAGGAATTGGTATTTGCATACAGTTCCTCGGCAGCAAGGCGAATGGCTGTAGCCTCCAGGAAATGCGCACAAATAACTATAGAAATCCACAGCTTTTCCCTTCGGACATAATCTACGCACGGTGAACGTTCCATGTAAGGTTCCATATCATTTCAAATCTAATTGTCCATTTCTATAAAAGTTTACTGAAGGGTATGCCACAATGAATTCCGAGCTGACAACTTGGCAACCGCAGAATTGGTTCAAGATTGAAACATAGCAGGAACTCCCGGTATTTATTCATTATATAGACGGCCAAGTCTTCTAAAAATGAAAACAGGATAAAATAGGTTCGTTTCATCAACCAATCCACTTAGTGAAGCCACTGATTGCTGGAGTAACAGACTCCACGGCTGTTGGCACAGCAGTTCCCTTCCATGCGACCCGCTGCGACCCTGAGGTTTTCGCAGACGATTTTAGCTCTGTGCGGCTTCAAAGACAAGCCGTGTTCCTTTTGACCCTAACTGGGGTAGAAACTGGTGACTGGGCTGACATGATCTGACCAGATTTGGATAGATTTGACAGGGGGATTTCACCAACTTCAGTTCGCCGGAAGGAATTCTTCGTGGGGCGAATCGTAACCACCAACAACCAGTAAGAAGGGTGTCACTGTTGAGGATTGGCACTGGGCCCCATTATGCTCCTACAAACAGTAGTTTATATGTGGTACCAGCTTCCTGAGCCAAGTGGCCAGGAATGGTTTCAACATACAACTCCGACTAAGACTTGTTTAGTAACTCTAGGGGCGGAAGACACTTCGATCTTGAACTTGCGGCTAATTATTGAAGATTATGGGTGCGCTCTCAGTGCAACCCGCCCAAATATAGAGGCTTGATCAGCTCCTAATATGGGTTCGTGGTTGTTATACGGGCCCCCGAATAGATGGCACAAACGGTACAAGCACTAAGATGGCATCAATGAAATTTCAACCTCATATGTTGGTTCAGTGTGTGCCATCTATCGGGTCACGACAACATGCAAAAAATCTGCTATTTGTAGCGATTTGCAAAAGCCATTTTAGGGCACCAAACAAAATAATATCTATCTATCTAACTACCTATCCTATCCTTTCCTTTCCTATCCTATCCTATCCTATCTATCTTCCCATCTATACATATGACATATAGTTATATATATATATATATTATATCTATTTATTGATTTATTTGTTTATTTTCTTACTCGGAAAGCGGCAGTTACCATTACTAACAGTTGTGCCAGTTTGCGCTTCGGCTCTACACCGCGAAGGACTCAAAAAGTCCTAAGGGAACAGCGTAGCTTATAAAAGACGCGCGCGCGCGCACTAGGCATGGTGTGACAGCCGACATGCAAACACAAAACTGGAAAACATGCAGCACAAAGCTGGAAAACATGCAAGCAAACACAAGACTTGAAAACTGGATGTTCACCGGTCTCCTTTGGCTTACCTTTCTGCCCATATTCATATACATGGGTTAAGTTCTGTCTGTGCATTTTGTTTCATTTGAGGCGCCTGGCCCATACCAGCCCATCACAAGCAGTGTGTATGTATCATTTAGATAGATTCATTCATGGACACTTCCTTCACTGTCAATGCCTGATGGCTAATGGATGCAGAAGGACACAGCGAATTGGAACATGTAACATGACTTATGAACAAGTTCAAGTATGCAAATTTATATATATATATATATATATGTATAGATTATTATCCCGTGAATATGGTGTGCCATCTTTGCAACCTAGAAATCTCTATACTTGTTAAACAGGTCAAGTATATAAGTGTCCCGTGGGGTATGCCATTTGTAAACCCCTAAATCCTGTATACACCATTTTTGCTGTTTTTTGAGCTTAGATGGCATTTTTGATGTTTTTTTATATATGCCAACTATCCGGGGGTCCCTATAATTATCACTGAGTTTTTTTTTGCACTTGAACTGAGGGTTATATTTCGCATGATATTTGAAGAGTTCCTGGGTGCTGAACAAGTTGTTGGTTCTTGATGTGCTTGAATTTTTGAGACTTGAACTGAGGTTATATGCTTTTTATGAGTTCGGGTTTCTACAGCATGGAGCACTTAGCCAGAGGCATTCGCTCTTTGCATCTTTATTTTGCCCTTCGCGCCACAGCGCCTCGATTGGCCGCAGAAGACCTGAACATATTCTGATTTGCTGCAGGGCATCTAAAGCTGGCCATGACAGAGGAGAACCAAACCGAAACATATACAACGGGTAGTGCAGTACAGCATCATTGTTCCTAAAGATAAAACATTATAATTGTTTGCAATATGGCCATGTTGTTGTTTCTCTACCCGAATCACAGCTGGCCGCCGCATACAGATGTTAGATGATGTTAGACCATCATCAAAAACCTATGAGGTTGCTATAGGTTTCCAACCTGCATAGCTGGTTGGTACTTTCTTGATTTGATTCCAGTCAAAGGGTTATTTTGGATCCAGAAGAATTATCTTGCGAAGTGATTGGATGTGAAAACATGTTCCTCTTGGGGATGTGTCTTGCTTTGAACTATATAATGGAGCCTTTGTATGCGTCTGTTCTTTGCTATCACAAGCCATCACAGACCCATACATTTCATATCATTTCATAATGCCGCCGTTCCTTCTATCCCGTAGTGTTTGAAATGAATGTATAACAACGGATTTGACTGTAAGTGAATCAATATCCCTATATTATCTTTATTTGCCGGACATCAATACCGTCAATAGCCCATGATTTTTTTCCACAATGCAGCTATGAAATGCTATGAATCCCAGGTGAAAACATGATCCCGGATTTTTACACATGCGTTGCCCAGCTTGAATGATGACTCTAGTCGTCAATAGCCCGTGGATTTTCGAAGCCCAGACCCAGACCAGCACCCAAACAAATCGTTCAATCAAAAAGCCCAGAAAGTCCCAGGCCATTCTCCTTTTCCTGAGCATGGCTTGCATTTGTCCACCTTTCTTGGCGGCCGCACGGCAGCAGTGGTCGCCCCTCGGCAAGCGCCGCTGGTGGCCGGTGCACATTTTGAGCCAGGCTGGGCACTTCCTGTGACTCGGCGTTCACATGGGGGAGGTGTTCTGCCAGAATCCAGACAGTTCATATTTATATAATTTTATATACATACCGTAGATGGACGAAATATGAAACAAGCCTTCTATCCGGTACAACCCCCTCGCCCCCAAAGTTCAATGTTAATTTAACCTGAAGTGCATTAGCCCCAATGGACGAAAGAAATCAAACCCCTAACATCACTTTTGGTAACACGCGCGCTGAAACATTGAGATTTGGGGGTGCGGGGTTCAACATAGTGCGTGTTGCAGGGTTTGAATATGTTGTCCATCTACTGTACGTATATAGAATATATGGATAATGATATAATATACTAATTAAGAATAATTATATAATATTTTTACATATATGTAATTATATGTATATGTATGTATGTGTGTGTGTATCATGTATCTGTAGCTTTAATTATATACGTATACAAATATAAATGTACAATACATCATTGAATCATAAAATGCATCTAGGAATCTAGTATCTAATTACATTTGTAATCGTATGTGTATGGGCAAGTGTTACTGGTCAAACCTTGGATGCATAGTTTAGCAGGTTCTGCTTGTGCCATTAATAGCAATATTTACAAACCAGTAAAGCAAAGCGGGTTTATCTTGATAAATTGCAACTTAAGATTAGATTGATGAATACCTACGGTTATACAGTAATTTCTTTGGTTGTTGCTCACTGTGTTATTTGAATTGTAGCTTTCAGGGGTCAGGATTGTTTGTTTCTTTGTTTTGCCTTGTTCCGTTGGTCATTCTTGCTGTATGCTCATAGCCATATAGTTGCCTCTTGTGTGTGTGTTTGCGTTTGTTTGTTTGCATGTTTCTTTGCCTGCAGTTTTAGATTTAAGACTTCCCAGATTTCTGAGGTATGATATGGTGCATTTTAAGATCAATATATGACATGGGTGCATTTAAACATCATACTTATCGCATATTTATCTTTAGTTACAATTCTATACATGCATCCAGAGCATTCATACCTATGTATGTTGTACAGCTGTGCATGTTGCATTTGTTGCCAAAGGCCTGTGAATATGTTGGTCCATTTGTCCTTCAATTGAAGACCTTCGATGATGCCGAGGTTTGTCTCAATCCTGGTGCTGTCCTACTTCCTGCTGCCAGCATATGCCAATAAAGGGATGCCTGACCTGATCTATAGCAATCCTACAAGAGATACCCTCTGGTAAACTAACATAGCTATGGAAAATCACGATTTGAATAGCTAAATCACCTATAAATGGTCCATTTTCCAAAGCTATGACATGCTAAATGAGTGGCACTCAAATTTGGATCCAGATTTTGGACCTTTAGATGCGAAAGGGACACTTGAAAGCGGACATGCTTATATTTAGGGTTTCACACGAGGGTTTCTTTGTTTTTTTCCAATAAACCAATCCACTGACATCCGCTGACATCCGACTTGAAATGTCCAGAAATCCACGCCATTCATGTCCATGTTCAGATGATTTTCCTGTCATGGGGCCTTTCCTGTCATGGGTCGACCCCCTGGTGGAGACCGCCGGAGATCCACTCGAAACCAAGGATGTCTTCGGTCCCAGATAACTTCGTAGCCCTCATGACGCTGCCAGTCTATGCTGCAGTCATGATGTCGTACCAGCAGGACCCGCGGTAAACCATACACCAGAGGTACTTTATGTTGTATTTGCGTCCTTTGTAATTGATGATGTGCGATTATAGATAGATAGATAGATAGATAGATAGATAGATAGATAGATAGATAGATAGATAGATAGATAGATAGATAGATAGATAGATAGATAGATAGATAGATATAGGTGTGCATGCATAGACTTTTATTGCTTTTGCAGGCACACAAGGGGATATATATATATATATATATAACAATCTGTATCACCCTATCTATGTGGCTGTACCTGAGGGAAACTACCAGTGGCCCTTTTATGTCTGTGTTGACGACATATCTATGAATATGTCACGGACATATCATTGCCATAAATCACAACATATCACCACATACAACCGTGTTTCCTCATGTTGCATGCTGTATATGATTTCAACTTGCTTGCCATAATATATATATATATATTATATTATTATATAAAATTATATATATATATATATACGATCCACATGTTATCCGTTTCATATCCATGGATGAATATAATCTAGTTTACAGTAAATAGATAGTAATAGATATGAAAGCATACAGGTATATATGATATTGATTTATAGCTAAGTAAACCCTACACCAGCTCATATATGATCCATAATTGGATGCCCATATCTTATCCCTAATAAGATATCCATATGTTATCCATTTGTCATCCATATCTTCAAAGGAAGTTTAGTTAGAAGACTTCCGCGTTACGGATGATGGTCACGGTTAGCATCACACCATCATGTCAACCACACCATTGTGTCAAGTGCATCATCAAGGTATTGGCAAATGTAACAGTGTGGGAGCGTGCGAATTTCACAGGTGAAAACACTCTAGGGCGCGAAACCATGTTTTTTTTCGGGTAATGTGGCTCCAGGGGTCGCCGAAGTATAGGGTCTCTGTTACCGCGGGTGCGGGCCTCGATCTGGGAAAGTTGTTGACAAAAGGCGCACAGGACTGTAGCGAGAGCTCGATTTCAAAAAAAAACACGTAAAAAAAACTGAGGCATGGTCAAGTCCACATTGTTGTCGCTGCGCCGATTTGGTGCGACGCTGCTGCGGGATTGCAACCGGTTGTGACAAAACACATTGGCACGGCTGTGCGCAGGAAAGCATCGGTGATGTTGCGACGCTCCTGCTTTGCGGGATTGCACTTGGAGGTTGCTAAGCGCATTGCAACAGCTGCGCGAAAGGTAGTTTTTGACCACAGTGTTGCTTTTGTGCTTTGCAGGGCTGCAGAAGCTACAAAAGATCTAGCTGGGAGGCAGCGCAGAGCAGAAGCAGGTGAGAGAAGAAGCAGCTAAGAGGCTGCTCAGAGAAGAAGTAGCTGAGAGAAGGCGTACCTAAGCGAAGAGGTCGCTCAGCGAAGAAGTAGCTCAACAAAGAAGTAGCTCACTCACTCACTCACTCACTCACCCATCCATCCATCCATCCATCCATCCATCCCTTCATTTATCCATCCATCCATCCATGCATTCATTCCTTGTTTGGTGGATTCATGGATTTTTACTGATGCATTGAATCATTGGCTCATGGGCTCACAAACTTATTCATTCACTGATTCGTTGGTTCCTTGATTCACATATTCTTTGGTTCCTTGGATCCTTGATTCAGTGATTCACTGAATCTTTGATTTACTGACTCATTCATTCATTGATTTCGCTGCTTCACTGATTCATTGATTCTTAGCGTTACTAGTTCACCCCTTCCTTGACTCATTGATTCATGGACTCACTGATTCACTAATAGATACCCAGAGCACAGTTCTGAATGCCCATGATGTTATCCATATGTTACCCATTCTGTTTTTTTAAAAACATGATCCATAAATATCATATAAATGATCCATGAAAGCCATGAACTCATCCCTTCTCCCAGGACTTCCTGACGTCCGTGGTGTACATCGCGGCCTTCGCCGTGATGATCGCCGTGCTGGCCGAGATCCCGGCCACGCAGACCAACGGCTACCCCTCGGAAGGGATCACCTTCCTGGGGCACCATGGAAAACAATAGCGAAAGCATTGGAAACTGGTGGTCGAACCATTGGAAAAATGGTGATTTCCTGGGATTGATAGCTAATTTGTATTGATTTGTGATAGCTAAGTTGGCGATCATAACTCCAATTTCACTATGGTTTATGGTAGGTATATAGATATACTATATATATATATATAACAATTATATAACGAACTATATAGTTAATGGGGTTTACAAACCAACAAACATAACTGGTGGGTACCACATTGTAGGTGATGTTTTTTGTTTGACAACTTCAATGGTGCTGATATGTTTTTCGGATATTTGGAGATTTTGATGTGGCTGTGTTGTTTTTTTCCATGTGTTGATGGACCCAATGGTAAATTCCATGAATATTTGGTTGGTTTATTTTTTGTTGTGGAGGGGTAACCCGTTTTGGACCCACCGGAAACGGAAATTTAAACAAAACAAAAACATTGGTTAACAAAATGAAAAATAAAATTTAGATCATTTTATGATTGGAGATAACATTTTGTTTGAATGAATTGCAGCGATCTAATCGAAGACACTCACCAGACATGATGGAAAACACTGTACTATTGGAAAAACAAGGCCAAACACATCCGGTTTGGGATCCATTCCGAATGTTCCAGACAGATCTAGGAGGGTTGACAAAACAAAGTTAAGAAAAAATGTTGCAAACATAAAGAGGAGCAATCAAAACAAAAAAACATTGAACAATGATTTTCTTGTGGACAATGTACCCCCGAATATTGTTTCAACATCTTCCCAGCTAGCCCTTCTCTGTCAATGGTAGCCGTTGTTGACATGGATTTTTCCATGGTTTGTACAATTTGGGGCGATCATTTGCACATGGCACGTCGGGAAGTTTTTTTGGACCTTCGAAATTGCGCAGGAACCGCTTCACCATGGACCTTTTTCAGTCAAGTCTTTCTCCAGTCGACTTCCCCCATTGTTTTTTTTCCACACGTTTTAACGGACACCACGGTGGTCACGGCCAAAAGGTACAGCATGATCTTTGCTCTGAAAGCTTACATCGGTGAACGGTCGTTCCGAGATCAATTCAAGGCGCGCCATGCCATCAACGACTGCAAGGCGAGGCCAAGGGCGGCTGCTGAAGCCCGGTGGATTGGTGTTGATGGGGATTCAACGATGGTTTTTTTGTGTCATCAGAAATTTGGGGATTGAACGTGGCTCAAATCGATTGTAAAGTATACAGCACTACCCTGTATTTTAAGGGATGAGAATCCATGGGAAATGCCACTGACCATCCAGCAAGGACGACAGAGGTGTGCAGGCTGCACAGGGTGGAAGATGGTGGGGTCAATGCTACCAATGTTTTGAATGGATACTTTGAAGATCTTTGAAGGGGGGGGTCAGATATGAACATCATTGAAAACTATTGAAATATACTGGAGATGTTTTGCAGTAGAGAGGCATGAACAGAGATGTATTGGTTAAAAAAGGAGTTGACAAGAATATGTTTACTTTTCTGGCAATTTTTGCAGGCCATCTCCCAAAATGCCATATCTTCACACAGCGCGCAGGTGCACATTGAAGGCATTTTGGAAACCTTGATGCTCGATGGGATACCCATGGGATGACGTTGGTGGTTGAAATCCAGGGACCCAACGGGCGGAATGCCATCAGCTTGGGAATTTGATAAACTAATAATGAAAATAATGATCTGGTTGGTGGTTTGGAACATTTGTTATGTTTCATGATACATGGGATAATCCTTCCCATTGACGAACTCATATTTTTCAAGATGGTTAAAACCACCAACCAATGAAGTTTTGGACAATCCCCAACGGAAACTGTTTCCCACAGAACTATCTGTGCTGTACCGGCTGTACAGTACCTTCACAAAATCGAAACTGATGGAAGATCGGAAGATCGTCCTGCGTTTGTGACTCATCGACGCTTCTCATATTACACATGGGGATCCTCGTTATGGGGACCCTCGCCGCCTCATGTTATGTATCTATACATATCTAAGGATATATCCTTGTGGCTGCCAACCCAAGACCAGGTGACAAGTGTTCCCACCCGATTTCATCCCGTTCCAATTGGTGTCCAGGAATATGTTGCAGAAAACATCAGAAAACATTCCATATTTCCAGAAGATCTATGAAGATCTATGAAGATCTATGAAGATCTATGAAGATCTACTTGGAGTAGCATGAAACAGATCTTTTTTCCAGAGCTGCCATGACCTTCACAGCCCTTCACGAGGATGCCCGAACGCGTCATCGACGAACTGCAGAGGATGCCGCCCGGAGCCAGCGCTCCATCGCACCAATACTATCGCGCCACCCTGGTGCAGTCAGATCTCATTGGCTTCACCAGTACCTTGGCCGCGGCTGTTGGCACCACCAGAATTACCAGCTGCGGAGAAATGAAATGACCTGATTTTGGAACGTGGATAACGTATGATAACCTGGCTTTTGTACCAATTGCGCGCAATGATTGCTAGCTTGCTTATATAAACATTTCGCAGACAACATCCAATCTTAAGTTTCTTTTTTCCTTAGGTGTTCCCAAGTCTTTGTTGCTTATTATAGAATTGCATGCTGTTTGTTAGTTCTGTGTCACCAGAACTGTGTAGAATCTCAGCTTCAGCTCCCAACGATTGGAACGGTGTATGGTGAATTACGGAAATTTACCGTAAATTACTGCTCACGCTTTTGACGCTTCATGTGCAACGATATTTATATATATATATATACATACATATGTGTGTATACATATGTCTATATATATACTTATAGGTATGTATATATATATATATACAGATATCCGTGTATATATAAATATCGTCATACATGTCCGTGTGTACTTGATTATCTTTCGAAATGTTGATGAAGAAATCCGTTGCCGCTGGAAACTTCTTCCCAAGGCATGGCGAGCTTAAAGCCTCCGGAATGGGTGGTCCAGGCCGTTTGTGACCTTTTTGGCGAGCCACTCAGAGGTGAATTTTAGGCGACTTTTGGGGGAATTCCTACAATGTGACCCCCCAGTTATAAATGGGTTTTATAAAGCTTAAACCATATATAATATATAGTTTATTGGCAGATTTACAAACCAACTTAGCTATTTGGGTGTCCCCTTGTGGTACTTCTTTTTTAGGGAAAATTCATTAAGGTTCCATGTGCTCTTTGGCGAGTTTGGATCAATTTGACTCAGATCATGGATTCATGAGGCTCTGGATCAATTGTAACGGCATGAAAACCCTACTCAGCAGACAGATAATGATGATGTTGAATCAATGGTGCTTTGAAAAATGTCAGCAACAACCATGAAACCAAACACAGCTCAACAATCAACTTGGACGGAAAATCTTCAGTCGGACCTGGCATTAGATACTTGGATGGATGTTGATGCAAGATTGATGTGCCAATTTTAGCAGATGCGTCAAGATGATCAAGATGATCCATCGTGCAGGGCACATTTGGGCAGCTGCCAACAGCTCGCCGAGGTTCGATGAGCTGGCGGAGGAGTATCGCGATGCCACCATTGGAATCCCTGGGAATTCGCGTTTGGGAAATCCCCCAACGAAATTGGGAAAATCATGGGAAAATCTTGTAGAAATACCTATCTAAATTATTCTACATTGGGTTTCAATGGGAAATGATCAATGTAAAATGTTCCATTGCCGTGATTGGCTGGCGGAGGGCGCATAGATTAGACCTCTGCAGCCATCGCAAGCTGCGAAGCATTCCAGCTGTACCATGTGAGAATCGAACATGCAGTGAAAGATCAAAGCATAAAAGCTAAGTTCATTTCAATCAGCATGTTTGGTTGCCAGTGGGTGATGTTGGGGGAGTTCCAAACTTTGAGGCAGGCTCCATCCACCGCGACTGCCACTCTGTATGGCTTCTGTGGGGGTCTTGAACACTTTGAACATCATGGACGGTAATATGATCAACTTGATCATTTTGGGCCCACGCCATTTCTGGTCAATCACGGTCAATCACGTTGTCAGTGTATGGGTTTTCACCCAATGTATTTCCTACCGTTGTCATCTACATTAATCTACATGTCCACCCTCAGAGTTATCATGAGACGCCAAAACGGGGCCATGGAAGATCTTAGATGATTTCCTCATATTCCTCGATTGCACTAAAATGATGGGACAACCAACTTTGGGTTGGTTTGATTTCACATTGTTGAGTTGCCTCATGTATCATCATATTTCATTGTTAATGTTGTTTGGAAAGTCTTGGTTCTTTGCTGAACACATTGGTTTGCCAAAAGAATCGGTTCAAACCCAAGAGTTGGTCTTGAATTTCGTAATCAAACATGGCTAGCTGGGAAATTCGAAATAAAGGTGTTAAATGGTGTTAACGGGAAAATCATGGAACATCATGGAAAATCGTGTTGCATCATCTATAACTGGAAAATTCTTCATTGCCACTATTGATGTTTGCAGGGTATTTCGTCCAGTCACTATCACTTCCGGTCGCTTCCTCGGAACTGTTCCAACAAGGTGGTGCCCGGGTGCCCCCCCCTAGATAGCTAAGTTGGTTTATAAACCATAGGAATAGTACAGATATATCATGACCCATAGGATCCAAGTATGCTATATATGGTAACATGGATCCCATCAATATACCCCAAATGTTAGCATATATACCATACATGGATCCTATGGGTGATATATCTACCATAAACCATAGTGAAATTGGAGTTATGATCACCCAACTTAACTAAGGAGCTGGGGTACCACCTGTTCCAAGGTATGGCATCTACAAAGTGGAGACCGTGGGCGATGCCTACATTGCGGGTCAAGCAGAGCTCCCGTTGACGGAAGAGAACTATCCACCCAGTGTGCCGAGATGTTAAATTCAGGTATATAACCCATATATATATATATATATTTACGGTCACCGCCCCCCTCAGAACCCCCATATTGAGGATAAGGGCGATATACAACTAGGGATATTCCATATGTAACTGGGGCTATAAGCTGTTTACTAAGTGGGGGTAGATTGGAGGTTTTTTGGGGGTTTAGGATGCCCAGATGTTCCATGGTATTTTCGGGGTAAATGTAGGTAAATATTCCAGCACCATGGAGCATCTAGGATAATAATATGTTTTCCAAATGTGCACCATTAAGGTTTGGGATTACATACACGCAGCTGTTGAAGTCGCAACGACTCTAGATATATCTTGTAAATACTGCGAGGGAAGCTGCAGGGGAAGTCGCTCCAACTTGCGTTCATGTGGGAGCAGTCATAGAATTACATTTGCTGAAACATCAATGTGCAAAAGAAAGTAAGAAGTAAAGAAAGGGGAAGAATCGGAAAGAAAAGGACAGAAAAGAAAAAGGGATAGAAAAGGAAAGAACAGGAAAGAAAGGGAATGAAAAGAAATTGAAAAAAAATCAAAGGAAAGAAACGGAAAAGGAAAGAAAGTGAGCAAAGGGTGGAGCAAGTGAGCACATTGGACACACCGCACCTCCTTAAATTCGCCAGGCACCTTGAATCCAGCTAAAGTTTGCGTAAAAACATTGTGATTTCTTACAGTTTTGCAAAATATGTTTTAAAACAATCATTTGTCAACAAATCGTCAGAGTTCCATTGAAAACTGTTGGAGTGATTTTTGTCGGCATGTTGGTGCGCGGAGTTCCGTGCAGGAAAGCGTTCTCTTAGGAAAGTTGCGGCGACTTCAAGCGACTTCCGCGGTTATTATGTGTAGTGATTAATTGGACCTGATTGATAATTCTTATTTTATATTATTGCTACTGGTTGGTTTCAAACATTTTTTATTTTCCATAATCCTTGACTTTCATATTTTTCAGGTGGGTTGAAACCACCAACCCGGTTAAATGGTACCTTAAGAATGGTGCTTATCACGGTTACATGGCTAATATAGACCATCACATGGTGAATGGGGATGGATCAAAATCCATGGAAAATCACCCACGGGTTCCATTCGGATACACAGGGGTTTGTCTAAAAATGCTGGGAAATGCCATGGAATCCATGGGTGATGCTGCAGCGAGATTCCATCGGCTGGGAGATTTCCGGGTGTCCGGGCGCTGGAGGGGAACGTTTGTCGATGCCAGGCTTCAACACGATATGTTCCAAAACGAAAAAAACGTTGTCAATTTTGATTTTCAGGGTTACTCTCTGGCAATTTAACGTCCCCTCTGAAATGCCCCATTTATAGGTTTTGACGAGTAAACATGGATATTCAGATTTTCCATGGCGCCAAATTACCAGAACTTAGTTTGATCAATCACAACATCCACAAGTCGTGGACACCCTATAGGCTTGATTTTATCATCTCGCAGTGCAGCTTTCCATATTCGTGTGACATGTTGGATGGCATAATATTAACTATATACTATAATACATACGTATATTATTGTGTTCTTGCCCTAAATGATTTGCACATATAGGAAAGAAGATATAGACATTAAAGCGGAAGCGGGACATATCAACTATATAGAATGTTAAGCTAACCAGCTTTAAACACAATGCATCCGAGATTGGCCATGATAGAAACCCAGGTCGTCCAATTTGGTTTGAAGATGGTCGCTGAGCTGCGGGAAAGAAACAGAAAACCTTGGCGAGGGATGGTGCTAGAAATGATGAGGAGACTGCCCTTGGGCAAAGTGGGGTTTCATGTCTTGTACTTCATAATTGCTAATTCGGATTTCACCAACAACCATGCTGATTTAACTTGATATAAGCGTTATATATAGAACCAACTAATTATATATATATAATTATATCAGTAGAACAAACCTTAGACAACCTTGGAGAATACCTAAAATGAATGGGAACCAAAGATTTGAAGAATCTTAGATGTGAGGTTGAACGTGGACCCATGGTAGGAAAAGACGTTGAGATAATTTATACATCCATTTATTTATTGGAACTGCACCTCCAATTAGGGGCCTTAAGAAAGTGAAGCAAAAACAACTTGCGGTTTATCAGCCCACTAATTATACAGATCTCTGATCTCAGGTGTATTTTTTGCCAATAGAAATTGGCATGTTCCTTTATTGTGTTGTTCCTGTCTTCTTTGCTTCCAGGGGGGAGGCTATGAACATCACACTTTGCCGATGAAGCCATGGTGAACCTACCAAAAAAGGCAGTGCCAGGGGCAGTAACCTCCCTAGAGCCTAGCCAGTCACTCAATTAGTCAATTTTCACCCCTTTTTAACATGCCTCAGAACCCGCAACTAGTCTCGGATGTGTTCATTTTTGGAGTCCGCCTGGCAACCTTTTCCGTCGGCAAATGGGTTGAAAATTGCACCCTTGAAGTTGGGAAGATTCCCGCGGAATCTTCTATCAAAGTTGGACCTTATTCCCCATAGATCATCGTTTCCATGTTTTGTTTTTCAATTCCAGGGAACCAACACATTCGAAATAGCATGATTACTAAGAAGTCAATTGTGTTTCATTCATTGTTCGACAGCATATATCAAGCATTGTCAATACATTGGAGAAAAAAAGCTGGCTGAAACAGTCATGGGAAAAACAGCGCATGTTATTGACTAGTCGTGTTTTTTTGATATATTTTATATCAGCCACACACATATTTCACAGAACATGCTGCGCAATCAAACTAGTTAATTGGATGGGACAGTTGCAGTTGCCGGACCATTCACATTTATGTTGTGTTGTGTGTGTTTTTTCTCAATACAGTACATGTACAAAAACTACATGCATTTACTATATGTTGTAATATATACTGTATGTTTTAATATACATGACATATGTACGTAAACATATCCTTTAGTGATCTTTAGTGTATCGGAGAAAAAAACTACAACTGATATATTCACATCATCCCAGTGGCGATATCCATTGCAGCCCTATTGGGGATGGTTTATTGCATTGGGGTTACAGTACCACATTACATATACAGTTTGTATTTATGAAATTTTATGAATATATATCATATATATATATATATACATATGATGTGTGTTCATAATGTCGTAGAATGGATCAGACAAATTATTCTTGGAATTATGAATTAGCTATAATTATCGAATTCATTGAATTCTGATTATATTCGTATGTAATAGTAGCTTTAAGATCTGAACCCCGAGCGGGTCACCGGGTCATTCGCGCCTAGGTCCAGGTCACCAAGCGTTGGTCCATGGCGGCAGAGGAATCCATCGGTGTGCGCGTGGGGCTGCATTCAGGTCGGAAAATCAGTGGTGTCGAAAACATGTTTTTTGTTCCACCAAAATGACCAAAATATGTGACTTTGTAAGTCAAAACTGGTTGAACACATCACTGATATGATTTTCCCCAGCTACATGGAGGCCCCAGCAAAACAGAACATGTTTGAAGGGTTTCTCTCCCTATTTCTGCAGGGTGGTTCGGAGTCCGGCGGATTGCAATCACCAGTTGCCGGTTGCATCCATGGAAAACATTGGAAAACATTGTCGCTTGGTTGATACTGTGGATGGGAGAAATCCTGCACCAGTTGGTAGTTGGTTTATTTGGGTATAATTCTATTATTTACAGTGTTTCATAGTTACTCAATTGTTACCAACTGGTGCAGGATTTCTGAACCATCCACAGTATGTCTCACAGGAAACACCCATATTTCATCATATTTCACCATGAAAACCCCCTTGAGAAACCCTGGGAAATCCCGCAGATTTCGGGTCGTTTTGATCTATCCTCGAGGCCAGTGCATCGGAGGCATCGTGGGCATGGACATGCAACGCTACCATCTCTTCGGAAAGCTGATCCATGAACTGCAGCTGCTCGAGTCGCCCGGTCCCGGTGAAGAATGGTGAAGTAACAAAGGAACATCGACATAACATTCATGGGATGTTGAATGATGTTGCATCATGTTAAATGGCTGTTCAATGGCAATTTTGTTATTCCTGTTCAAAATGTATCAAAATGTCATTTTTCCTTCGTGCTTTTGGTTGTTTTCTCATGTTTTCTCCACTTCACTGAGGTCCACGGCTCCTGAGAATGGCCTGCAAGTGAGTCACGCCTGCAAGGCCGCGGTGGAGCAAGCCTGGAACGTGGATAGAGGCGCCGGGTGTCTTTCGGAAAATCTCGGAGAATGCTACGTGTGGATGTGTAAGCTGGGCCCACCAGGTGACCATTATAGAATCTATCGATATGTGTATATAAGTGTCTATAAATATATATATATATTAAATGATATAGACATATCTAAGTTGCAGGGGTGAGATAGAAGCAGAGTAAATGGTGATAGCTTGAAGTACAGCACTACAGTTACAGCCAAATTGGATACATTTCAGTTGGTTTATAACCCCCTCAGTTATTGGAGGTATGTTCAACAACTTAGCTATCGTTTTTGCGGCCTCAGTACTTGGACAGCTTTATGGGACGCAGTATTCATGGGGTGATAAACAGAGTTAGAACTGAGGAGCCTCACCTTGTAGAAATTGGAGGTTTCGGACCTTAGATGGTAAAATAAACTGCCTATAACCCACTGTTTTGGATTTTCTTCGGGGTATGTGCAAGGGTATCTAAGGTCAAGTATGAATACATTGCCGAGTTTGCTTTTGCAGGAAAAATATCAGTGGGTCAGCAGATGGGGATGTGAGTTCAAGCTTGATCCTTTGTCTCTCTCCCTCTCGCTGTGTAGCTGTGCAAATAAAAAAAAAACTGTGGTGAATGGTGCCTTGTCTTGGTGTTAGTCAGCAGCATTTAATGGTGGAAGATCATATTCCACTACAAAGAGGTCGTGACTTTGAGACAAGCTATGATGTAGTCGCCGTCCGGCCCTTGTGAATAGACTAGACGCAGTCACACTTGTGATGCGTCAAATCCCCAGTTAAATCTGCATGTTCGAGACTTACGACATTTTGAAACCATACGTGTGGGTGTGTATGATGCTAAACTTCAAAAGTGTTTGATGGCTCAAACCCTTACCCAAGAAAACAATCAAAATATATCAAACAAATTACTCTCCGGCAATCAAGCTTGCTGGAACATCTTCCATAGTTCGATGGGTATTGTCCCATTAAAACCTCCATTTATGATCGGAATTTCCCAGCTAGCCATGTTTGATTGCTGGATGGTATCATTTATTTCAGAGGAAAGTGCAGGGTCGTCATGTTTTTGCAGGGGATGGTAAACACCATTGAAACAAACGGTTTGAAACCCAATTGAAACCATAAAAACCCTGTGGAGCCCCCACTCAAAGCCATTCCACCAAGATTAGAGCACCATCAAAACACCATCAAAAGCCATCAAAAACCCATATGGGTATGGATCAATACCTATAAGTACCATTTTTAGTGGGATGAACATCCATTTACCAGCTATTTTGGGGCTCACTAGGTACCAGGGTTTTGACCCATCCCCATATTTTTCCACCATCAAATGTCAGCATCATCTCCAACCTCTCCACCCTTCCCAGGCATTGGCTCGCCTCCTCGAGGCCTTGACCGTTCACCTCCACGACCCCGCAACGGCTTCGAGTGCCACGGCTTCGAGTTCTTGGAGCGTCCGGAGATGCAGTTGACCACCTCCAAGGTGGAGACCGTGCCCGTGCGTTGCACCTGGGTTCACCAAGTTGGGAAGTCATGGGTTGATAAATCTTACGTAATTAATGGGTTAATAAGGTTAATCATGTTTAATACTGGTGAATCATTGATAATGATACTGAAACTGGATCTGAATTTGTTTTGTTTGTTTGTTAAAATGGGATGAACCACCAAGTGGGGGCCTCTGTTTGGGATAGCTAAGTTGGTGAACAGTAATCCAATAACTATGGTCACTGCTAATGTGGCAATGCAAAATCCCCTACAATAGGTTTATATAGATGTGAAACACATCCAACAACATGGTGGATTTCCATTGCCGTGTTTGATTACCACAAAGTTGCCATACACGATTTTTATCGATTATATGGATTGAAATAGATTATTTTAGAGCTGATTGAATATCCATGATCAACGGATTTCGTTTTTTGCCGGTTTATGTTTGGGTGATTTGATGGATGATGGCTTACAAAAACCCGGTAACCCCCACAACTTCGCAAGTTGTAAACTGGTCATCCTTGTGAAGCCGTCCTGGTCAATCGGGCTAGATCTGTAGTTTTTTTTTCCGACGACGGTCGTGACCTCACCGTAGACGATGGTTCGGGGGAACTATCCCCAAATGATCAAATATGTATAACTGGTTGGTGGTTTGGAACAGCCGTGTCGGCCCAACACCTGCCAGGGGTGCGGCTGCCCTGGCTGATCGTTGGGTGGCTGTCCCATTCCGTTCTCGCTATGGCTTGTTTCCCCATGGACCTCCCTTCGGCTAACATTGGTGACATCTTTGACCTTGTTGGAAAAGTGTTGGTTTTTGACATTGGGCATTCTTCCCATCTTTTGCAGGTTCGAGGTGGAGATTTGAAATTCAACTACGAGGGCCTTCTGACTGGTGAGTTTCACTCTTTCACCCTATTCAATGTTCGTTTGAGCAAGCAGTTTCCTGTGCCAGTTGTTTCGGCCACAAAGGATACCATGGTTTTAGGACACCAGGTTCCAACATGGGATTCACTCCACTCAGTCATTGACCTATGCAGCGGCTTTGGGGGTCTGGCCCAGGGCTCTACAGGTGCAGGATTCGAGGTTGTGACAGCGGTTGATCAGAATGAGCACATGGTTTCACTTCACGCCAAAGCAAGTGAAGCCGTAGGCATTTGTGGGGACTTCGGATCACAAAGTGTACTCATGGACATATGGAAAGTTTCACGTGGAGCAGCTGTTATTTCTTCCGGGTTCAGTTGTCAGCCCTTTTCACGATTAGGAGATGGAAGAGGTGAGCTGGACACCAGGGCGAATTGTCTCACCAAAACTCTCAATGCTGCCATTGCACTCCATGCTTATGCGGTGATTTTGGAAAGTGTAGCCCCGGCAGCCCAAGACCAATTCGTGAAGGCTGAACTGCTCAGATTTTGCCGTAGCACTGGTTTCACTTGTTCGCAGACGGAACTCCGCCTCGACCATGTTTGGCCATGCCGCAGGCAGAGAGCTTGGTGGATTCTGACCGCCCCAGAAATCGGTGAGATCAAGCTGTCCCCATGGAAACCTTTGGATAATTTGTGGGAAACCCAGCAAATCATTCCTGAAATTCGTTTATGGGATCAAAATGATGAGCAGCAATTGAGTTTGGACCACCAAGAACTGGAAGCTTTTGGGGTGACCAACAACACACATGCCAAGCACATGCTGAATGCCAAAGGAGTGGCACCATGCGCTCTCCATGCTTGGGGATCGCAATTGCATGCTTGTCCCTGCGGCTGTCGTAAGTACGGTTTTTCTGCATGCCGATTGGAGTCCAAAGGTCTCCATGGATGTTTGGTCAGAAGTGCTTTGTGGCCTGATGGTAATACATACCTCCGGCACTTACACCCCAATGAAACTATGGCACTCAATTGCATGGACCCTGTTCTTGATTTTGGGGAGAACGTCAAGCTGACACTTTCAGCTGCTGGACAAATGGCTTGCCCTATTCAAGCACTGTGGGTGTTTAGTCATCTGGCTGCACGACTTGATGACATGCAACAAAGGCCATGTCTCACCCCTGATTTCCAGATCCAGGCATATCGCTCATGGATGCTTTTGCGATGCCGTCAGGTTTGGCCCTCGCATGATGAAGTGATTCGTGATGACAAATTGCTTTCCCTGATTGGTTTCTGGAAGGATTACAGTGACCTTTCTCTTGCTGAACTTGTGTATCCGATGCGTTGGGAGGGCAAAATCACGGGTTCAGTTAGTATCGCCTCAGTCCTTGATTTTCTCATCCGAACAAAGGAGACCATTCCAGAAACTCTCTCGGATGTCTCACAGCATGAAGATGAGCCGACCCCGTGGATGGATTGCCCAATCATCTCTGATGACCCTACGACCGTAGGGTGCATGCAAGCTGACTCGTGCACGGTTGTGATTGAGGGTACCAGTGACTCCCCTATCCGTTTTCAGCCCAAGTGTTGTGCCACTGTTTCACAGTTCTTGAATGCTCATGCCAAATTGGTTGAAACATTGGATGTTGAGGCCATTACACTGAATGGTTCCATCATTCCTTTGGAGCATGTCATGGAAGTGGGGCAGGTGATTGTGATCCGTACTCGGAAGCTACATGGATCCCAAGAGGAGATGCAGGTTGTCCATGATGTTTCACCCACGGTTGAATGGTCACAGCCAGTGCAAGATCCGATTGAAGCTTTTTCTCCCCCGCGCAAGGTCTTGAAGACTTCCAAGTTTGATGTTGGCGAATGTGGTGTCCCGCCTAGTGGACTCTTGCCTGATCAGCCATGGTTGGATGCCACACCATTTCTCCAGCTGCAAGGTGAGCAATTTTTGAAACTCTCACCACCAATGTTGGCGAATACCCAGCAATTGTGGTCAGTGAGGCACCAGTTCTTCCGAACGAATGATCGTCTCCAAATCCTGGAGGCCCAACAGCAATTTTGGGCTGACGATGAAATCCGTTTTCATTTGAATGCTTTGATTCCTGCCTTTCGTGACTATCAGCTTCAGGGTAAGTCTCCGGTGGTTCCACTTTGCGTCATTGACCCCTTGATTACGACCTCATGGGTTTCTGGCAAAGGGTTTGATTGCAGTTTTTGGGCAAAAGATCACCCTGAGATCTTTCAAGCAGGAATCCCAATCATCACTGTGGTCCTCATTGACAAACATTGGGTTCCGGTTCACATGACCCCTATTCAACAGGTGCTCCATGTCTCCACATGGGACAAAGCTGATGCTGTTCATGAAGGGCTGAACCATGTCATTCACACTCTGGCTGTTTCACTGGGATTTGAGAGCGCTCTGATTAGGCGTGAACACAGACTCTTTTCACCTCTGAGTTATGTGGATCATTGGCCATTGCGTTTCTTCGCCATGCTTTGGTAGGCACCCTTTTGCCCACAGACAGCCATGAAGCAGAGGCAATACATGCCATGCTCAGGACAAGGTATGTTTCGGCGCTTCAGAGAAGTGACATAGTGGACCGTCCCTGGATTTGGGGTGCGGGTGATGCTCAGGAGTCGACACCACAGTCATCGGTGGTTGAAATCCCCACCGTGAACATCACCCGGGATCAAAGAATTGATCTCATCAATGAAAGGGGCACAGCCATGGCTGATGATGAAATGCGTTTCCACCTGATCAATCTTGTTGAGAAACAACCTGTTACCAATTCCTTGCTGGGGCGTTCTTTTACCTTCCTTGAGCCGTTGGTATTCAATTGTTGGAGTTCCATTGGGAAAATCATTGTGGAACAATGGTGTGCACGTAACACTGAAGTTCACACCCAAGGGGTCAATGTGGTCACCGCGTTTGCTGTTGAGGGGCATTGGATTCCGGTTTGGTTTTCACCCAGAAGCACAGTCATGCAAGTGCACATGCTCCAGGCTGAAGGCATTGATTTCACCCAGCTTGAGGAAGTTTTTGAACTGATTGCTCACAAATTGGGTTTTGAGACTTTCGTCCTTCACAAAGTGCCGGATGGCTTGCCTCCTCATACTATGTGTGGGGCCTTCACAATGTGTTTCTTGGCCCATGTTGTGATGGGTATGCCACTACCTGATGATTTAGGTGAACTGCGAACCCTCCACACAAACATGAGGGCATCATTTGTTGCTCAATTGTATGCAGTCGATGTCACGCCACGACCTGTGGTATGGGGTACGGGTAGGAAGGGCACTTGGGTTTCTTCTCTGCCTTGTTCTCCAGTTGCCGAGCAGCCAGACAGTTTTGCCAGTTCATCCGCAGAGACTCAGGTTAGGCGTGGACGTCAGCCGCTCCCTCCAGGACGTGTTTCTGACCGACAGACACTTGCGCATGACCCTCCTACTGCCAGTTCATCCGGTAGCTTGTCACATGGTAATTTCTCACAAGTATTTGGGAACCAGCACCAAGCACAGTGCAATCAGCCTGTTGTTGCACCCAGGGTTGATGTCTCTGTGCCTTTTCCCCAAAGTGTCCGTTGCCCAAGTAATGTTGGTTTTCAGGTCTTGTCCTCGTCGGTGTCTTGCCACTTGCCTGATGCTTCTGGACATACCGATATTTGCTCACAGCCAGGGGAATCCGGGCCACTCCCTATAATGCCCGTGGAACAGCATGAGGAAATTGCCAGCCTTTCGGCCCTGTCCAGGAACGTGCAGATCTCCCACCCGGGTCTTGGGGTGTCGTCAATGCCTGGGGCACCTGTTTCACTCCCTGTGAGTACTCATTGCCCAAACCATGACCATGATGTACAAGCCAAAGGTGGCCAGATTGATGATGCCTTGTCTCCTGTGTCCACACACTCAAGGGAATCCGGGCCACTCCCTATAATGCCCGATGAACATGCCCTGCACCCGGCAGAGTCACCTAGGCATGGTGATGACAGTGATGAGATGTCAGCCCAGCGCCAGGCACGACTTCTGCAAGTAACGTCCCATAGCTATGCCATGGCCGATGATGAGATGCATTTTCAGCTCCAGCATCTGATGCAGTGTCACGTCCCTGACGGTGTGCGTAGCTTCACATTTGCTCCTCCACTGTACGTTTTTCAATGGATGTTGGGGGACCCGACTGGCCTGGACGAGTGGATTCATGAAAGTTGGAAAGTCCGAGATGCTGATATGACTCATTTAATGGTTGCATATCTGATTGAAAGCCATTGGATTCCTGTTTGGTTTTCACCCTGCCCAGCTGGCCTACAGGCCCACACACTTGCTGCCTTTGCAAGTGATGAGCCCCTGGTGGATTCGGTCTTGCACCTGTTTGCTGCCAAACTTGGGATGCCACTGCATGTGATTCACCGTGTGCCTCATGGTCTGGAGGTTGATCGCTTGTGTGGTGTGATGACCCTGAGCTTTTTTGCACATATCATGATGCGGACTGCCATGCCTCGCGCTGTTGAGGAACTGCACACTAGGTGCTGGAAGATGAAGGAAGTTTTTGCTCGTGCCCTTCAGAGTGGTCCTTTCACACAACCCACTGCCTGGGGGTGGGGATGTTCTTGGGAATGCAGGCCACTCCCTAGAATGCCTGCTTGGTGCGACGTTCTTGCACTCATTGAGGATGCTTTTGACATCCAGCACAGCGTAGGTAGGCTCAACGCCTTGCAGTGCATGCCCTTGATGCCGCAGGTCCCGTATGGTATGTCCTTTGAGGAGATGTCTGTACATGTTGCCACCTTGGCCTGTTGTGCACCAGTCCTAAGTTCTTGTGCAGTAGCTGTTGGACGATCTCAATTGGAGGCCAAGATTTCGGATTTTCTGCAAAGCCCATGTGAAGTGTTCTGTTGTGCCCTGCTGCTTGAGCACCATTGGATGCCTGTCCTTGCCTACAAAGATGGATCAGGTGCCTATGTGTTCCTGGAGAAGGATCGGTTGTTGAGCCAATTCCATGGTTGCCACACGGTCTTCATTCCTGCGACTGATTTTCCATTTTGCGGTGCTGCTACTTGGGCAGTTCTGGCCCGGGTTTGGATGGTGAGTGAGATCTTAGGGGACCTTCGTGAGCTCCGTTCTTTGTTGTTCCTGCTGGCTCCTGAACAGGTTTCACCATCAACAATGGTTGGCTTTGGACCCCATGGACACCTGTTCAAAAACTTGTGTGCTGAACTCTCCAAGCATGGCATCCCTGAACACATGATTGAGGAACGTGCACACGCTGCCATCAAGGTATTGGGAAGTGAACAGCTCCTCGCAGCCCTGAATCACCGACAACCATGGCGGCAGTTGAAAGCGCTGGGAAACAATTCGAAATTCCAGTTTGTCTTACCGAGTGAATTGGCCAAAGCCATTGAAACGCAAAAGGGCCGTCCTGTCGCCAAAGGGAAGGGAAAGGGTAAAGCCAAGCCTATTCCAACACCTGTTGACCTTGACCCTGCTAAGTTGCAAGTCTTGGAAGGTACCTTCCGTTTTCAAGACCGAGTCCTTCCTCAGTTGACCACACAGCAAATTGGTCCCCTGAGCAGCGGTGTCATTCTCATGTCTCACCAGGATGCTGAGCCGTATCTGAAGTCCGGGAAGCTTGTTTCACAGGAACCTTTGGCCTTAATTGTGCTGCATAGAGCCGATAAGCCAGTTCAGACTATGCTTCCACATGCCCTGATCTCCGTCCCCTGCCGATGCATGATTGACAGTGAGCCTGTATTGATTGACGCTGTTCTTGTTCAGGTTGGCACTGGCCTGGTTGAAAAGACTGTTGGAACTTCGTTGCTTACGGTTGACACACCCGATGTAGTGACGTTGAAGGTATTGGTATACAAGGATGAACTGCACGGGGATTGGCCTGACTTCTGTCAGTCTCCTATCAAGTGCTTGGTTGGCATGCTTCCAATGCTGAAGAGATGTTTCACCGAAAACTGTTCATGTGAAGGGTGGCACAATCCGGAAAAACTCCCCATCCGTGACCCGATCATTGATGTTTGGCGCCGGCAGTATCTCCGCCAAGGGTTCAAGCCTTGTCCGCCAGCTGAGGCTGAATTCTTCTCGGTCTGCCTGAGGATCCCAATGTGCCTCTTGGAAGTCATGTTAGGAGCAAGTGGTGTCTCGGGAGTTTACTGTGAGCCACGCACGGCCGATGGCAAGGAAGTCCTCCCGAGTTACACTGTCATCTGGACGCCAAAACACTCCCTGCAGGAGATGAGGCATATAATGCAGACCAACCCGGCGGTGATTGGCCTGGCGAGATTGGCTGACCGTCGAGGATTACGGGTCCGAAGTGCCCAGGCAAAGACCATCCATGAATTGGTCAGACCTGATACGGTGTATCTGCCCAGTGGACCAAAGGGACATTACACTGTAGGCCCGTTCCCCTATGGAGTTGATCGACAGGCAGTGGGACGTATCCTGCACAAAGCTGGATGGGAATGTCGCCCTCTTCAACCTGCAGCACCGTGTCCTGGCAAAGGAGTGATGTGGACTGTCCAATCTGCAGAGGAGCCTTCGCAAACCATCCTCATGACCACCTCCGGTGAAATCATGATTTCTAAGGTCAAGCAAGATGCAGTATCACCCTCTGCGCCGTCCCTAACCGTGGGATCTGCTGCCACTTTGGCATTGTGTGGACGACCTGCGGAAGGTAATGCCAGTGATGACCCTTGGGCTATCCATGATCCCTGGAAACGGTATCACCCCGCCAGCACTGCGGTGACGGGTCCATCGGAAGGCCTGCAACAAATTGAAGATCGCATCCAGACAGCGGTCCTCGCAAAGATTCAGCCACCCATGGAGCAGGACGACCTCCCTGATCGGGTCATGACACTTGAAGGTCAAGTGCAGCACCTGCTTGCAAAGCAGCAGGGTTTGGAGACTCAGTTTCAAGAGCATAGTAGTCACCATTCCCAGCAAATCACTGCCCTGCAAGGTCAAGTCTCTGCCCAGGCTCAGCAGCTTCATGGTCACCTCGAGAATCAAAACCAGACCATGCAGTCGCTTTTCGAACAGCAGATGCAACAGATCCGTGGCCTCTTAGCCAAACGCCCAAGGGAAGAAGGAATGGAATGACAGGGAGGCCGGGGACTTGGTTTGGTGGTGCCCCTTTGCTTTCTGGTTGCAATTGTTGGGTCCCATCTCTGGGTCCTCGGCCTTCTGTTTTGGGGTTTTTGTTGGGGTGCGGCCGTGTGCCGCCATGCATCGGTTAGATGTAAAATCAAGTTTTGGCCATACGTTGTCGGACTTATGCTGATCTGTCGTATTGGTGAAGCTGCCAATCCTGGCCCTAGCACCAAATCCAATTTTGCTATTGGTGTCTTCAATCCGTCAGGTCTCCCTGGCAAGGCACCATATCTTGTTTCACAACTGGCCCAAGGGGATATTTGGGCTGTGTCTGAGACCCATTTGAGCTCCCAGGCAATGAGTCAATTTTGTGCCAGTATGCGCTTTGCAAAGAGCCCTTACAAGTATGTGATTGGTGGGCATCCTGTCCCGGCACAGACTGATCGCACGCAGCATGCTAGCTGGCGTGGGGTTGCACTGATTTCCAAGTTTCCTTCCAGAGAAGTCCCGACACACCTTCCTGAAGATGTTCGACACTCGTCAAGGGCTTTGATCACCACCTCCCTAGTACAGGACACTTGGATTACTGGGGGCCTTGTGTATGAGGAACCTGAAAGTAGTGCTTACCCATTTCGAAAGACCAACAATGAGCGTCTCCTCCATGAGGTGGTAAACCATGTTTGTTGTCTCACCAAGGGACCCAGGTATGTTGCCGGCGACTGGAACACTGCCCAGCATGAGCTCCCAGTTTTTGCACGGCTTGAAGAGGCTGGCTTTGCTGATATTCAAGATGTAGCCAACCGCCGGTGGGGTCTCCCGCCTATGCCAACGTGCAAAGGGGTTACCAGAAAGGATTACTTGTACCTATCCCCGGAATTACAACAATTGTTGCTCTCGGTGGAAGTGTATCCTGATGTGTTCCCTGACCATGCTGTGCTCATGGGAGTGTTTCACTCAATGCGAGAGCTACTCCCGAAACAAATCTGGTTTTCACCATCCCAATTTCCATGGCCGGTTGATTGGAATGTAGATGTGCAATTTTGGCATAATGCGACTGGAACTTGTGAAGAGCGTTACCGCTCCTTATGGCGACATATAGAAGACCAGGCGGCACAAGAGGTTCCGTTTCCTGTGCCCTCCAATGCCAAGGGCCGGGCACGTACAATGACCACTGCCCCTGTTATTGCCGGTAAGGTGCCTCCTCCGAGGTGTGCCAGGAAGGGTGACATCCGGCCACAATTTGTATGTGCCTCCTTTCGGCATGCCCAATGGTTGCGTCAGACAAGAAGACTCCAGGCGTATTGTCGATTTGCCAAAAGTAATGATGTTGTTACCACCCATGGATGTGCTGTTTGGGGAGCCATTGTGAGGGCGAAAGGGTTTCACCCGACATTTTCTCAGTGGTGGGGCCAATCCACCTTGCGCACTGTTGGGGCGCCTGCTGTTTTGCCAATCATGCCTCCGCCTTTTGCTGTTGCCCAACATGTCCTGGAGTCAGTGTGCCTTGCTCTCCGGCGACTGGAACAGGAACTGCAGCAGTCCTCGAGACTTTATGCCAGGCTCAAGCGTGACAGCAACCCTAATGTGATTTTCCAGGATCTGAAGTCTCACCCTGACCAGGGGGTGCATGTTTTGCTTCAACCTTCGACTGCTAAGGTCCTTGAGGTGCGTGAAGATGATTGTTCGGTTGTCCTTGATAAACCCATGCAGTTTGACCCCTTGTTGCCTGTTGTTTGCACTGCCGTCCCCTTACCCATCATTCATGCTGAACATGATTGTGTGTGGCTTGAGAACTTGGAGGGTGTTGCGGTTGGCAGCACGGTTACACAGGTGACACGTGTTGGTACAGATGAGGACTTGTTTCACCTGTTTTTGACTGCCTGGAAAGAAATGTGGGAGCGACATACCCATGTACCACAAGAGCGCTGGAACACCATTTTGGAGTTTGCCCGCCAGCACTTGCCCAGATTGCAGTTTTCATGGCCTTCCATCACCGCTGACACCTTGCGTCACTGCATTTCCCACAAAAAGCCTTTGACCTCTGGTGGCCTAGATGGTGTTTCCCTCAGGGATCTGGAAGCCATGCCCCATGCAGCCCTTTGCAACTTTGCCGATATTTTCCAGTATGCGGAGCACACCGGCTCCTGGCCGACCCAAATTGTAGCTGGCCGTGTGGCCTGTATTGCAAAAACGCCTGTTCCCAAGCAAGCCCTGGATTTTCGCCCCATTACTGTGCTAGGCCTTCTCTACCGCTGCTGGGGGACCTTTCAGGCGAGACAGGTGATCCAAAGGTTAGATGAGTTTCTGCCTATGGGACTTTTTGGGAGCAGGTCAAACCGCTATGCGGGCCAGGTTTGGTCCCAGTTGCTTTGGTCGATTGAGCAGGCGTATGAACAGGCCATTGAGCTCTGTGGGATCATTGCTGACATACAAAAAGCTTTTAACTTTTTGCCTCGGCAGGTTGTCTTTGAGTGTTGTGCTATTGTAGGTCTCCCTTTTCCGCTGCTGCGAGCGTGGGCCGGTGCCCTCACTACCATGCCCCGTCGCTTTCAGTTGAATGGGGCGATGAGCCCCCCTGCCTACAGCAACTGCGGTTTGCCCGAGGGATGTGCCTTGTCATGTGTTGGGATGATGGTGGTTGACATGGTTTACCATGCTTGGATGACACACTTCTTCCCCATGTGTCAGCCTCTTTCGTATGTCGATGATTGGCAGGTTTTGTTGACTGATCCTGACATGTTGCAGCCAGCCTTGCTTTGTTTGGAACGTTTCACTCAGGCGATGGATCTATTACTTGACCAGAGGAAGACACACACATGGGCGGTCAGTAACCGAGGGCGGCAGTTGCTGCGTGACCAGGGTCTTGACCTTATTGTTGGGGGAAAGAACTTAGGTGCCCATGTCCAGTTCACAAGGTTGCACACTAACCGCTCCCTGATGGCACGTGTTCAAGAGGGACAGCCCTTGTGGCAACGTTTGCGCCTTTCTCCATGTGGATATCCTGCCAAAGTCCGAGCCATTCGTGTTGCCGCCTGGCCACGATGTTTGCATGGAGTGCCTGCGACGACGCTGGGCTTAGCCACTTTCCAATTGCTCCGCTCGAATGCAATGCGTGGGCTACGAGCCGAGGCTGCTGGAGCAAATCCGATGGTCCACCTCGGTCTGATAGAAAGACCTGCCACTGACCCGCACTGTTGGTCTATCTTGCAAACCCTACGTCTCACCAGGGACTGCGGCATGCATGATCGAGTCCAACAGGTTTTGAGTGCAATTGCTGGTGGTTCCGATGCTTACCCTGCCAACAGCATCACCAACACCCTTTGCACCCGCCTTCAATTCCTTGGTTGGCATATTGATAGTAAGGGGTTAGTAGTTGATCATCGGGGTAAGTTTTCACTGTTTGGTATTTCCATGCCTGAGCTCCAGTATCGGGTTGAGATGCAATGGACACATGTGGTGGCTGCTGCCACCGAGCACCGTAGCTGTTTCACCGGGCTGGAGTCCTGTGATGCCGCAGCCACGCGCCAGTGGCTCGGTACCCTTGATGGCGCTGACCAAGCATTGTTCAGAAAGGTGTTGAATGGAACCCACTTCACGCAGGATGGCAAAATGCACTGCCAGGAGACTTCGTCTGATGAGTGCCCATTTTGTGAGTGTAGTGACAGTAGATACCATTGGTTTTGGGAATGCCCTAGGTTTGAAACTATGAGAGAACACATCCCAGCGGCAGCACGCAAATGCATTTCTGAACTGCCAGAAGCGCTTACCTGTGCTGGCTGGTTCCTGCAGCCAACGACCATGCAAGAGTGGAACTCCTTTTTTGCCAACTTGTCTCCTCCGCCCTTGCCATGTTTCACTCACCAGGGTGATTTGTTTCTCTTTACTGATGGAAGCTGCCATGATCAACACAACATTAACCAGCGATTTGCAGGTTTTTCAGTTGTTTCTGCCTCATGTGAAGCGGTGCATGATTGTACTGGCAGTCAGATTTTGGACTCAGGGCATGTACCAGGTCTCTTGCAGAGTGCCTATCGTGCGGAAATTTTTGCAGTACTCAGGGCCCTTCAAATTGTCCAAAACCATGAGGGACGTGTGTTTCTTTGGTCTGACTGTGATGGGGTGGTACGACGGCTCAAGCGTTTGATTTCTGGGCATGCCATTAGCGCTAACAGTAGCCATTTTGACCTTTGGGAAGAAATCCTTAAACTTGTCAAACAACGTGATGGAACTCTGTTTGTTGCCAGGGTTTCCGCTCACCAGCATGATGATGCCGGCGATGTCTACGCTGAATGGTGCTTCCGCCATAATGGAATAGCAGACCGGCAAGCTGTTCGGGCCAACCTGACCCGAAGTGCTGAGTTTTGGATTATGTGGAAGCGCCATTGCATTGCTTGTGAGGGTATTGATTGGTTTAATGGTGTGGTTCATGAGGTTCAATTGGCTATCAGCCGGGAGGTTACACGCCAAGAAACCCCGGTTCTGGCCCAACCTTTGCATGAGCCAGCAAGCATGTGCCCGTGTCCAGACTGGGTCTCGCTGCCTCCTTTGTGCCTGCCCGCAGCAGCTGTCCGATGGTATGGGGAGTCACTTGTCAGACACATTGCGAGTTGGTTCTGGTCGGCTACATACTCAGGTGGCTATGACATGGTATGGGTGTCTCACTTTCAGCTGTATGTGGATTTCATGCTGACGACGGGTATGCCTGGACCGGTCAAGCGAGAGCGATGGTGCGATGGGCGAACTTTGTCCACTCTTTGTTTGGGCAACTATACGTTTCGCACCCGCTCGCGGTGGTTTATCAAGGTCTTGAAAGAGATTTTGAGGCACATGCAGGTTTCACTGTCTGCTGATTATGGGCGGCCGGCCTCTCAGATGGTCCTCATGCACACCGGCATTGTTGCTGTACCATGGGCCCCTGATAGGCTCCGTCAGGTCGATGAGTGGATGCTGCGCCATGGAGGCAACACTTTCCGCAGGCAGTCTGCGGCTATTGACAGCCTCCCTTGTGCTGATAGATCACCTTCGTTTCCACCACATCTTGTTTCAACCATTGGCCTCTGAACTCACCCAAGCCGGGTCACGTTCGGCATTAACGTGACGCGCGAGTCAAAATGGGAGTCAAAATGGTGGTTTGGAACATTTGAAATTATTTTTCCATATATATATATATATATATTGGGAACTCATATTTTTCAGAGGGGTGGCTCAACCACCAACCAGAATATGTCAGCTTTGTGAATTAGCAAAAAGTTCAGCCACATAGATTTGCAAAGCACCACTTCCAAGCTGCGCGCAGGGTGAGATTCATCAGTACTCAGAAGTTGGTGGAAGCTTGGTCGGCCGGACTCCGGACAACTGGCCTGGCTGTTTCTTGGGAATTGAACAGGGAAAGCCATGAAAAGTGATAAGGATATAGTGAGAATATAACTGGATCATTAAGATGACTTGACTTATATAACTTATGTAACTTATGTAACTTATGTAACTTATATAACCTATAAAACTTATATAACTTATATAACTTATAACTCATTATATAACTTATTTAACTTATATAACTTATAAAACTGGTTGGTGGTGTCGGCCACGTTTGTATTTTCAACCATAGAAACTGGATGATGAAATCAGGTGGTTGAAACCACCAACCAGTTGGATTGCAAATGGAATCTGGAAGTGAAGTAAGCAGTTGACGGCGGCATTTCGATGGCAAAAGTATGCAAAAGTGCCAATTCTAGTCCTAATTTTCTCGGATGAACACACTTTTTGTTGCGCAGAAACGAGCCAGCAGAAACGAGCATTTCAAATTTCAACAATGATTCGGATGCAAACCAACACAAGCCATGCACATTCAAATGGGCTTGCCCTCCCATGTTTTGTATTTGGTTTCGGGCCATCTACCAATGACACTAGAACTGGTGTCTAGTGTAGACCCAATTTGGATGAGGTCATCCTGTCATCCTGGAGTAGATAGAATGACAAAATGTCAGAAACTCCTCACTATCATGTTGTTATCTTTGTCCATTCCATATTCTTATCACTTCAGGGTGATTGTATGCATATATATATGTATGTATTACAAATGTATATATCTATTACATATGTATATAGGTTTACACCTACATGTATAAACACATTTTGTATACGCATTTATATCTTTGTAAATATACATACATATATATATATGTGGTTCATGTGTGGTTCAAGTGTTCCATTAGTTTGGACACGGAGTGGCCTTTAAGTTAGCAATTCATCAAGTAAGTTACCATCCTGTATGTCATGTCTCCCATGGTCCGCTTGATAGTGTACATGTGATAGTTTTATTCTTACTCACTTACTCATTACATTCACTTTCACTTTCACGATCATATGTTTCTTTATATGTACTGAATAATCATGTTTCCCACCAAGGATTTTACTCATTACATATAATAATTAAAAGTACACAGGTGGGTAAAATCTAAAAATCTGGGTGGGTAAAATCTATAAATCGTTTTTTTTTCCCAAAAGCAAACAGACTTCTGACTTCTCGAGAAGTCTCACCGAGGAAAGACCTACACGGTGCACGCCGTGGTGGGCAACGGCTTGGACTTGGAGCTGCCGAGGCCTTTTTCATGGTGAATGGGAGATGGTTAGTTCCCAAATTTCAGGTATTTCCTGTAGTATACCTATAATATACAGTATCTACAATATATATATATATATACATATACATATATATATGTGTGTGTGTGTGCGTGTCTTTTTTGTGGGGGTGGTAAATTAAATAGATGAATTTGTGACTTCACGTCGTGACCTCACTGCCATCATGGTGAATGTATAGGGGAATCATCCCCAAATGGCGGCAAGAATCAGGTTGGTAAAATAGCATATATTTTCCAGATTGATTGAGATATAGTGGGGTTCTACTAGATTCTTGACTTGTTGAAACGGGATCATTACAATCCACGATTGGAACAACTACAGACAAAACAGTAGAACCAGTTCACAACCAGGCTCTTGAGCTGCTAAGTAGCTTACAACCCCTATATACTTGGTATATACATATGATATGCACATATCTATATGTATATGATTGTATATGTGTATGTATGTATGACTCGGGATGCTCCATATATATCCATATATGGTTTGGGGAGCATGATATTCCCATAATATGCCCATCTTCCGTTCGTACCATGAATTGCATGGGATGAATACGGACCATCCCCTGCAAAATACTTAGCCCAACCTCATTTCATGAGAGATCTGACGCAAATTATTGGGTAAATTATTGGGTATACATAGAAAAGTGATCTTGGATTTAATGTGGGGGCGTATTTACCGTTTTTTTTTTAATCTTTGGGATACATGGGCTTGCCCTTTGCTAATCATGGGCGTGTCAGCATAGCACCATGGTGAATTTCCCACACCTCCATCGGATTCTTGCGTAAAAACATTTTTTTTGATTTCAAACATCAAATCAGGGGCGCGAAATGGAAATCAAAAGATATCAAAAGGCTTCAGGATTGGACATGGACTTGGGTCTCTCAGAGGGATGAAGAATTGCGGATGATGTGGTGAAACAATCAAAGTCGAACCCAAGTTGTGTTTCTTGATTATTCAAGGGCTGCCGCCCCTGCCGCCGACCCCGGAAGGCCAGAGACATCGACAAAGTGACATAGTCGGTGGATTACTAAGGTCACAAGATTGACCTAGATATTCTTCAGTGCTGCTGCTGCTGCTGCTGCTCCTGCCCCTGCTACTCCGGTGGCAGGCTGCGACGCCTTTTCCTCCTGTTTCCTGCTGCTGCTGCTGCTGCTGCTGCTGCTCCTGCTCCTGCTACTCCGGTGGCAGGCTGCGACGCCTAAAATCGAACCACTCCCAGCAGCAAATCCCCATGGCAGTGAAGGACGGAAAAGTATCAAAATTGCGCCCAAAAACTGCCTAATGTAACTTCTGAAACCCATAGAAAAAGATCATTTTAGCTACTTTTTCCTCCTGTTTCCTCCTGCTGCTGCTGCTGCTGCTCCTGCTACTCTTCTAAAACTTATAGAAAAAATGATTGTAGCTACCTTTTCCTCCTGTTTCCTGCTGCTGCTGCTGCTGGCGACCTTCCAAATCAGCCTCCTTTGTGGTCAGTTCGGTCTGGCGACCTTCCAGATCAGCCTCCTTTGTGGCCAGTTCGGCCTGGCGACCTTCCAAATCAGCCTCCTTTGTGGCCAGTTCGGCCTGGCGACCTTCCCAATCAGCCTCCTTTGTGGCCAGTTCGGCCTGGCGACCTTCCAAATCAGCCTCCTTTGTGGCCACTTCGGCTTGGCGACCTTCCAAATCAGCCTCCTTTGTGGCCAGTTCGGCCTGGCGACCTTCCCTCCTTTGTGGCCAGTTCGGCCTGGCGACCTTCCAAATCATCCACCTTCCAAATCAGCCTCCTTTGTGGCCAGTTCGGCATGGCGACCTTCCAAATCAGCCTCCTTTGTGGCCAGCAAATCCCCATGCTACTCTTCTGAAACCTATAGAAAAAATGCTTGTAGCTACCTTTTCCTCCTGTTTCCTGCTGCTGCTGCTGCTGCTGCTCCTGCTGCTACTACTCCGGTGGCAGGCTGCGACGCCAAAAATCGAACCACTCCCAGCAGCAAATCACCATTTTCCTGCTGTTTCCTAAACTCGAACTACTCCCAGCAGCAAATCCCCATGGCAGTGAAGGACGGAAAAGTATCAAAATTGCGCCCAAAAACTGCCTAATGTAACTTCTGAAACTTATAGAAAAAGATAATTTTTAGCTACGTTTTCCTCCTGTTTCTTCTGATTCTTCATGAAACCTATAGAAAAAAATCTTGTAGCTACCTTTTCCTCCTGTTTCCTGCTGCTGCTGCTGCTCCTGCTCCTGCTACTCCGGTGGCAGGCTGCGACGCCAAAAATCGAACCACTCCCAGCAGCAAATCCCGATTTTCTTCCTGTTTCCTAAATTCCAACCACTCCCAGCAGCAAATCCCCATGGCAGTGAAAGACGGAAAAGTATCAAAATTGCGCCCAAAAACTGCCTAATGTAACCCAAAGAAAAAGATGATTTTAGCTACTTTTTCCTCCTGTTTCCTCCTGCTGCTGCTGCTGCTGCTCCTGTGCCTGCTACTCCGGTGGCAGGCTGCGACGCCAAAAATCGAACCACTCCCAGTAGCAAATCCCCATGGCAGTGAAGGACGGAAAAGCATCAAAATTGCGCCAAAAAAGTGCCTAATGTAACTTCTGAAGCCCATAGAAAAAGATGATTTTAGCTACTTTTTCCTCCTGTTTCCTCCTGCTGCTGCTGCTGCTGACTGTTCTGAAACCTATAGAAAAAATGCTTGTAGCTACCTTTTCCTCCTGTTTCCTGCTGCTGCTGCTGCTGCTGAAGGACGGAAAAGCATCAAAATTGTGGCCAAAAACTGCCTAATGTAACTTCTGAAACCCATAGAAAAAGATGATTTTAGCTACTTTTTCCTCCTGTTTCCTCCTGCTGCTGCTGCTCCTGCTACTCTTCTGAGACCCATAGAAAAAAATGTTTGTAGCTGCCTTTTCCTCCTGTTTCCTGCTGCTGCTGCTGCTGCTGGTGCTGCTGCTCCTGCTCCTGCTACTCCGGTGGCAGGCTGCGACGCCAAAAATCGAACCACTCCCAGCAGCAAATCCCCATGGCAGTGAAGGACGGAAAAGCATCAAAACTGCGCCCAAAAACTGCCTAATGTAACTTCTGAAACCCATAGAAAAAGATGATTTTAGCTACTTTTTCCTCCTGTTTCCTCCTGCTGCTGCTGCTCCTGCTCCTGCTACCCTTCTGAAACCTATAGAAAAAATGATTGTAGCTACCTTTTCCTCCTGTTTCCTGCTGCTGCTGCTGCTGCTCCTGCTACTCCGGTGGCAGGCTGCGACGCCTAAAATCGAACCACTCCCAGCAGCAAATCCCCATGGCAGTGAAGGACGGAAAAGCATCAAAATTGCGCCCAAAAACTGCCTAATGTAACTTCTGAAACCCATAGAAAAGGATGATTTTTAGCTACTTTTTCCTCCTGTTTCCTCCTGCTGCTGCTGCTCCTGCTCCTGCTACTCTT